ATCAATGTGAGTAACTGGCTATGTGGAGCAGGGGATCGGGGATGACTTCTTTGATTAGACTTGTTCTTTTTGGAATTGGAAGGGCTAGATCATTATGTCCTGGGGTTGAAGAAAAAAGAATCAGGGATCAGTAGACCTGAATTTCAATCCTGGTTACACTGGTTGTCTGTGTGTCCTTGAGGAATTCATTTCACTTTCTGTGCCTCAGAGGTTCTGATATTTAATGTGGAGACATTGGAGGGGTTGGTAGCGTAAGATCCCTTTCTGGCTCTAAAATTTTGTGATTGCAGCTATTCCTTTAGACCATAGACCAACTTGAGCCCCTAGTTGACCTCGACAATCTCTAGTTGTGTGTTCCCAGAGAGGGCCAGGGGCCAGATCTCCATACTTTGCCTCACGTGTGCTGTGTGTTTTCCTGGAAGCTGCATATAGGACACTCGTTGATGGGGAACTTGTGGGTTGGAGCTGGTAGTGAGACAGTAAACATTGGGAAACAAGCAGCCCTTTCAAACTCTCAACCTTGGCAGGATGATATGAAAAATAATTCTTGGGAAGCTGGGGACTGGTGGCAGCTGCTTCTCCTCAGACTTGGGATGGATGGAGCTCTCAGCAAGGCCCACAGCTAGTGCTGGTAGTTTTCCACTCTGGGAAACTGGAAAAGTCAATTGGCTTCTCTGTCTGGGAGACTGGTAGGTAGTGGAAGTGTCAGGAAACCACCAAGACAACTCAGCTGACAAAAACCAGTAGTCACTTCTTTGCTGAAGTGTCTCTTGCTTTCCTGTGATTGATTCTCCACTTTTCATGCTTCCAGTACATTGTGTGATATAAAGAAAATGGGTTGGTGGGATCTGATGGACAAGGAAGGGGGCTTGGAGGAAACAAAGGGGACCTGGAGTTTGGGACTTGGGCCAAATTGGCAGCTCTGAGTTTTCTCTAGTGGCTGGGATCCTTTCCACAGAGTTTACCCAAAATAGTCATGTTCAATAGGAAAACCACACTGGTACTGCTGAGAAGTGCCACGTTGGTTGCCCTTGGCTAAGGCTTCTTCTGGTTCCAAAGACCCACTAGGATGAGAAAGGCCATCCAAGATCAGCTTGTCCATTTTCCTCTGCCCTTTCTGTGAGGCCTCTGGGAATACTCATTCACTGGGAAATGGCCTATTTTCTCAATGTGACTATTGCTAATTTACTGTTTTTTATCTCCAAATTTCATATTTCCATCCTTACATTCCTTGGCTCCAATTTCTAGACCTCCAGCCTTACTCCCATTGTCCATGGATGGTTTGCACAGTAGTCACTTCTTATCTGTGGTTTTGCTGTCCATAGTTTTAGTTCCCCATGGCCAACCACAGGTTGAATATTAAGTGGAAAATTTCTGAAATAAACAATTCCTAAGTTTTAAATTGTAGTGATTCTGGTTAGCATGATGCAATCCTATGCCCTCCCACTCTGTCTCACTTGAAGCCCACATCATTCACCTTTCTTCAACTCATGTAAGCATTTTATTATCTCACATCATCACAAGAAAGGTGAGTACAGTACAATAAGATATTTGGAGAGAGAAAAGACCACATTCACATAACTTTTATTAAGGTGTATTATTATGATTGTTTCACTTTATTATTAACTATTGTTGTTTATCTTTATCTATGCCTAATTTATAAATTAAACTTTACCATAGGCGTGTATGTATAGGAAAAAACAGTATGCATTTAGTACAGTTTTAGACATACACTGGGCATCTGAAAATACCCCCCTCCAATAAGGGGGGTGACTACTATAACACTTATGGTCCAGGCTTTATCCTAAGGTTGAGTTGGAGCTCTTCATCAAGGCATACAGCAAGATTCCAGCCAGGCCCCACTTCTCCAGTTGCCTGTGCCTCTACTGATGGAAACCTAGGAATTCTTCCTCAGAGCACCTCTGTGGATAGTTCTTCAGTAGCCACTTACCAATATCCATGCCAGAGCTTTTTTCCTTTCATGCAAATTTCCCCCAAAGCCCTTAAAAGACCAGCTCTGCAACTCACTACTCTCTGGAGATGTTTGTGAACTGGAACGAGATGGTTCCCCTCTGAGGACCCTCGACCCTCATTAGGGAGCACCCTACTTACTGAGATGCAACTGAGAAGACTTCTTCCTCACAAACATGTGCTGAGCACATGGAATGACCACACACTTGGAGGTGTCATGAGATTGTTGCAAATTACTTCCCACTGAGGACCTGTTCATCCCTGGGACAGCAACCAAGATAATGCTGCAGCTGTCTTGATACATTTCAGTTGGATTCTATTTCCCAGGGGTTCCTTTTATTTTGTGTCCTAACTGAAAATTACAGAAACTTTCCCTGCTAAGTAGTTGAAGAAAATGAAGTAAAGAGATTTGCAGTATGTGTGGCAGAGAGAAAGAAAGAGAGGTGACAGAGAAAATCCATATAGGGTACTTACTCTGCTAGTTGGTGTTAGAGGAGTGCCAATTCTTTCCTTAAGGCTCTGCTGGACTCATCATGACTGCATTTCACTTATTGTTAGCTGTTACATCACTTGGGGAATTTTTTAGACATGCAACTTTTCAGTCCCCATCCCAGATTCATTTTGTCAGGAACTACCCCTCTCTTCCTCATAGAGAGTTTAAACAGCAGAATGGTAATGACATTGATGAAGGGCTCTCCCTGAGTCAACATGGATAGCTCCTAACCTCTTCCTGGAGACTAGTATAGAATCTGTGCAGAAGAAGCATTCAGGAGTGGTAGGTGATATGTTATTCCTACAAGGAAGCAATCAAAGGGTAAGAAGTTGCCATGGTCTGATATGTCCTCCCTGGAACTCATCTATGAAGAGCTTGATCCTCAAATTCATGTTAATGGTATTTGGAGATCCTGCTGTTTCTTTCCTTCTTCTCTCCTCCCTCCCCTGTAGGGCCCAAACTCTATCCCCAAGCCTTTGCCCCAAGAGGTCCCTGAGATATATACTCAGGAGATGTGGCAAAGGGAAAGAAAAGTTCTACTTTACCAGTATCTGGCCTTAGGTCCCAAATACCATGTAAGTGCTCTGGTAAACTATATTAGGGCATTGAGGCTCAGGATAAAGGTCTCCAGAAGCCTGTCCTCGTTCATTAAGTTATGGTACCAAGGAAGAAACTAATCAGTATTTGAAGCATTTTAGAAATATACATTGTTGTCATGATTCATTGGTAACTTTGGCCCCTGCAACATCCTGTTCCTCCTCTTTCCATCAATTTCACTTCTCAAGGCATTTGGAATTTGGGAAACTATTGCTTCATTCCAAACAGTTCAGTTTTATGCTTGAGTTTTGAGCACAGTGATCATCCATCAAACCTATCACCCCAGATGGAGAAATTAAACATTTGATGAGAACAAGCAAGATGATACTAGATTGTTATGTCCATCTCTTGATCCAAATCCAACTTGGAAAATGTCATGGACAGTGAACATAGAAGTGTTATAGTTGGGTATGTGGCTATGTTTCTTGTCAAAGCTGCCTGCATAAGGTTTTGCTTAACCACAGTTTCTGGAAATATCAGTTAGTCTTTGGCCCAGAGCCCTCATTCTCTTTCCTGGGGCCAGATACGACACCAGGAGTTTTACTTGGTATGTGATTAGACAGGGCTCTCCAGAGGAAGAGAACTGTATTAGAATATACAATTATAAAATTATAACTGTGGACTATAACTATGAAAGGGGATTTATTAGATTGGCTTACATGATTGGAGGCTGGATAACTTCACAATAGCCACCTGCGTGCTGGACAGTTAGAGAACCCAGTAGCTGCTCAGTCCAAAAAGCTGGAAGCCTCAGAGCAATGATGCAGCCTCAGTCCCAGGTTGAGGCCTGGAAACTCCTAGGACAGTGGATGTGAGTTCATGTTGAAAGGCTGAAGAAGCTGGAGTCTGATGTTCATGGGTGATGGCAGGAGCAATAGACACAAACACTTGGGAAGAATGGAGCTTGCACACATAGCTGGCTTTGTTCTTCCTCTTTTGTTCCATCCAGGCCCCCAGCCTATTGCACACATTCAGAGCAGGTCTTTCTCCATCAGTTGCTATGCTAGTGGTCTTTGCCCTTACAGACATACCTGGAAGACTGTGTATGGAGTTCTCAGAATATAGAGCTGCCAGATAAGACAGGATACTGAGCTAAAATTTCAGATAAAAAACATTTTTAATTGTAAGTATATGTCATACAATAAAAAAATCAGGAATGTAAAGAAGCATGAAAATAGAACTCATAATGAAAAAAGGAAAAAAATCAATCAATTAAAAGTTATTCAGAACCAATTGCATTTCAAAATCTCAATAGCATTTTTCCAGGAAAAAGCAATCCTTAGATTCATATAGAACCACAAAAGCCCTTTGGAGGTATTGTAGTTGTAGACTTCAAAATAGATTACAAAAACACAGTAATTAAAGCAGTATAGTACTTAAATAAAACAGACTTACACACTAACAAAACAGTAGGAAGAGCCCAGAGATAAACTCACACATATAATGTCAACTGATCTGCAACAAAAGTGCCCAAAAAAATGCAGCTGGGGAAAGATTAGTCTTGCTAACAAAGAGTGCTGGAAAAACTGGATATCTACATGAAAAAGAATGAAATTGGATTCTGATCATACATTATGCACAAAACAAGATCAAAATGGAATATTGATTAGAAGTGTAGTCTCCTAATAAAGAAGTAAGAATGGCTGCTGAAGATATTACTACGGAAAAAGATACCTCAGCACATTGCATGTATTACATTACTTGTCAGAGTTTGGACCAAAAGATAAGTTTGGCTGAGGGTGATATCTTGGAGGCCTAAATGGTATTTGGTGTCAGGGCCAGGAAGAGAAGTCTTGTAGAGTTAGGATGGTTAAACTGGGACCACAGAGTAGGAAGATTTACTGTCTCTTATTCTCTGTTCAGTAATCTTCTTGGGAGCGTTTGGAAATAAAAATGAAAGCATGCTCTCTCTTTTTTTCTTTGGCTTCTCTTGGTTCAGCTATATGCCGCTATCCTCTGGGCATGTCAGGAGGACACATTCCAGATGAGGACATCACAGCTTCCAGTCAGTGGTCAGAGTCCACAGCTGCCAAATACGGAAGGTGAGGATGGCTACATGGAGAAAATTTGAATTCTGGATTGAATGCATTTTCTGGACACAGAGTCCTTACTTCCCCAACTTAAGGAGTTGGGGAAGAAGGGTGATACTGGTAAGAGCTGGTGAGAATGGAGGAAAGACATCAAATGGGCCTGTCCTTCTCTGACTGTTTCAGTGGGGAGAATTCAGTGTTTGGCTTCATCTATTGGTCTGGCAACCTCATCCTAACCACAGAGCCCCAGAGCCACACCACCCACTGTGAATGGGTTTATTGATATGCAGTGAATTTGCTTTACCTGACCTCTCACTGTGAACTGCTGCAGGAGGGAGGCAGAAGCAGAATCTGGAAGGTGCAGATTATGTAGGCTTCTGGGATTTAGGAGATCTGCTCTTCTTAGGCTGTGTCTGTGAAACTTCACTCACAACACAAAGCATCAAGGGCTTAACCAGACATTGAAACCTCCGACAAGTTCTTCCTTCTCTCTAGGAAACCTCACACAGAAGAGCCATCCTCATCTATAAACAGGGCGAGGTTGGTTCCTTGTGGTATAATTTCAAGGGTCCTCTAAACTGACAAACTCCCAACTCAAAAACTGCTCTTCTAGTTGGGGCCTGTTCCTCCTCCAGGAATCTCATTCTTTTCATGTAAGGTACTGATTTTGTCAAAAATGGAATCACCCATAAGGAAAGTGACGTTGGTAAACCTTCCATGTAATGTTTATCTATGTGTGTGATAGACTAGTGTGATGATTGGTGGGGTTGGATAGGAGGAACAAATGAGTGGGTAACATCTGTGAGAAAAGAGAGCATTCCAGGGAAGAGGGATAGTGGTAAGAGGTTCCCAAGATAAACTTTACACAATCTTTCTCAGCAGTATCCCAGCCTGGAGGTAATAAAATGAAGCTAGATTATTTACCACTCCTTGACACGCTCTGAGCCCTCACCCACACCATGGGTTTCCATGGGTTTTGCTGGGTGGCCATGCCTATTCTGCTGGTTCACTGCATTGCATAGTCCATACTAGAGATCCTACTATCCCTCTTCACTCCAGTAACTTGATACCCAAACCACAAGTGGCTAGCTTTGTTAGGCTCAGTCTGAAAAATGGGAGGGGGTGGTGAAATGACTCTGTGGAAGAACAGAGAGTAAAGAGGATTTCATTTCCCTTAGAGTCTCCAAATTAAGATGGAAAACAAAGGCTACATATGATCTGAAAGCTCCGGCTCACTGGTGGTGACTCTGTTTGGGTTTCATGGTGCTTCAGAGAGAGGAAACTGACAATGATCAGGAATGATGAGGGCAATCAGTCCAGTGGGGAGTACCCAGAAGTCCATCTGGAGTGGACTTTGGCCTTCTCTCTTCCCTTAGGATGCTTGCTGTGAATTGGCAGACAACTCTATGGCTTCATGGTTGCTTCCTCTCTCCCCAACCCTTACCTCTCAAGGCTGGACTCAGAAGAAGGAGATGGAGCCTGGTGTCCTGAGATTCCAGTAGAACCTGATGACCTGAAGGAATTTCTGCAGATTGATTTACACACCCTACACTTTATCACTCTTGTGGGGACCCAGGGGCGCCATGCAGGAGGTCATGGCATTGAGTTTGCGCCTATGTACAAGATTAATTACAGTCGGGATGGGACTCGGTGGATCTCTTGGCGGAACCGGCATGGGAAACAGGTAGGAAGTAGAGACATACATGCCTTGGGATGTCCAAGGCCATATTTCAACTTAGGTTAGAAGAAGAAGAGTACAAGTTGTCTGTGTAGGTATGTGTGTCTGCAGACCTGGCATGCCTTTGTAAGTGTGACCCCAGGGTAAGGGAGGTGGCACAGAAAGGAATATTGAAGGTGCTAGGAAATTTGAGTGGATAAATTCTACTCCTTGAATTAAAAAAAAGGATCCCATCCAAAAGGTAATTGGGTGAATAAGGGTGATTTTATACCTGTCTTTACTCTTTCTCTTCTCTCTCCTTAGGTGCTGGATGGAAATAGTAACCCCTATGACATTTTCCTAAAGGACCTGGAGCCACCCATTGTGGCCAGATTTGTTCGCTTCATTCCAGTCACTGACCACTCCATGAATGTGTGCATGAGGGTGGAGCTTTATGGCTGTGTCTGGCTAGGTAGGTCTGTAGCACAAGGATCTTATAGACCTTATGAAAAACCCCAACCCCTGGGAAATGAAGACACAATCCAATCAGAAAGGGATGGATCAATTACCCTTGGAATAAAGTGATTCCTTTTTTTATAAAGAAAGGAGCATTGTTTATCCACTCAGGGCTGGAATAATGCATTCAGAGTTACTCTGCTGACTGCTACTGAGGAGCGTAACTCTGCAGAGCTTCCCTGTGCCCAAATTGAGCCCTGCTGGACAATTGCACCTTTGAAACTTGTTTTGCCCTCTGGGATAGTTAGTGTGAGTAGCATGCACATGTCCTTCCCAAAGGCACTGACAGATGTGTTTCCTCTGGCAGATGGTTTGGTGTCTTACAATGCTCCAGCTGGGCAGCAGTTTGTACTCCCTGGAGGCTCCATCATTTATCTGAACGATTCTGTCTATGATGGAGCTGTTGGGTACAGGTAAATGCTGGGAATCTTTGATCATCAGAATGGGAAAATGGCCACTAGGAAATAATGATGTTTTATCATGACTTGATCAATAATCAGTCAACCAAATAGTATTTATTTAGCTCCTGTACTATACATTGTAAGATAATTTAGATAAAGTAAACCATGTGGTCTTTATTTCCAAGGAACTTAAAGCCTGCTTTGGGGAGACAAGATAACCACACAGAAAACAGAAATAAATTGCCCAAAGCAAGAGCTAAACTTTGAGGTATGACTTGAAGTGTGAAAGCCATATTTTTGACCCTGAAAATGGGACATATGTTATGACACAAATATTGGCCTAGTTGTGGAAACAAGGGGCCAGAAGAATTGAAGTAATAAATATAATAATTGGGAAAAGAAGTTCAGGATGAATTGACTACATAAATATAAATGATTTAGAAATTATAAAAATAACAAAATTAATAAGGCTTATGGAAAACAAAGAAAGGTTCTAGAATGAGATGAGAATTGAAGCAGGGGAAGGTAGGAGGAAGGAAGCAGAGGAAACAGGGGTAAGGGCAGGAATGATCTGATTATGGTAGAAGTTGAAGCTGGGAAAGTGGAAAGGACCAATACATAGAGCTGAAATGGATCCATAGATCATTGGATACAGTAGGCATTTAGAATTGAATAAAAAAATGTGCCTATCTATCCCACTCCACTAAGCTTTACCATTCTTCTAGCCCACCCCAGAAGTTTTCTCATTTACCTGGGTCTTTACCTGCAAGGAATGAGCCTGGGACAGAATCAGAACATAGCGAAATTCAGGGCAGATGACAGAGGTTTCTGAGAGTTGAAAGACAGAGATATTAGTGAGTCTCAGCAAGGGAAATTTGGAATTACAGCACTTCAATTAGCTTAGGTGTGGAGAACTGCCATCCCCTGGATAAAGTCCTGATTCATTCAGTCTTTTAGCTCTTAGTCATTTTCTTTCCATCTCCCTATTCACTGTTCTTTCCCAGTTCTTAAACTGTCTTGGCACCAAGCCAGCACATACTAGAGGCATAGAAAAAGTCAGAAATCAACTGAATTCAGCTTAGTTTAATCAGTCTTTACTAAACAACTATTATGATGTGCAAAGAATTTGGCTAAATATTTTAGGTATTCAAAGACAATGAAGTGATTAATCTTACCAATAAGGTACTCACAGTTTGGAATAGGCACTGCATGAGAATATAAATTACAATGATACAAAGATATGAGTAAGAGATATCCTATTAATGTTATGAGGGACAAAGGAATGAGTAGCTGCAGTAGGAAAGCACAGCACTGGGAGTGAATACACTTGGATTCATGTAATGAGCTTGCTCTGAGGCTAAAGTGATTAAAATGTATAAGAAAAGCATTTTATATGCTGACAATTTTTGAAAAGAAATTTACAAAACACTTACTTAAAAAGAAATTTAAAATTATAAAAACTCAAAGCATTACACTCATGTACTTTGCAGATACTTCACAAGCACTCATGGCACAGCTAGCAGAGAGTGCCAGGGCTCCCTGGTTGTATTTATGTGACTTTTAAAGTGCCACCATAAATTTGTTGTAAAACCACCTGAACATTGTGAAGAATAAAGTCAAATGCTTTATTCCAAAAAAAAAAAGCATTTTATGAAGATGAAGTGTGATACATATGTAAGTTATTATCTGATTGGAGAACTAGTAAAGACATTCCAGAATAGATCAAATTTGAAATGTGTTCCAAAGCTGGGTAGAACTCCCGTAGGTGAGAGTCTTGAAATGGCATTTCAGGCTGAATGAGTAACATTAGGAGAAAAGAAGTATGGTTGCAAAGTTAGAGGAATGCCTGGCAAAAAGCAACAATTTAGTTAACCATGGGGCATATTCATGTAGCAAAGCAGTGGATGAGAAGTGTAGCAAGGTAGATTCTGCCATATTTTGTAAGAATTTGAATGTTGGGGCTAGGAGAAATAATTGAAGGAGGAGCAAAAGGAGGAAAGAGGATGAGAAGTAGGAGGATGAGAAGGAGGAAGAAGAGGACAAGCAGAAGGTGGAGGAACAATTTTTTGTCAATATCACCAGGTAATGAGTTGTTAATGATTTCTAAAGTTGGGAAATCTAGTGATTGGAGCTGTGCTTTAGATAGATTGATCAAGCAACATGCAAGATTAGAGTTGAGAGGAATGAGAAAATAATAGAGGAGATTTTAAAATTCCAGATTCTGTCAGAAAAAGAATTAATGGCCACGGCCATAACAGTGACTATGGAAATGGAGGTGAGGAAGAGCTATTCATTTAAGAGGACATTTATAATCTGATTGGATATAAGAGACAAGACAGTAGAGTGAGAAAAAGTTAAATGGAGCATGGAGATCTAACTATTTGAAGCAATGGTATTGATATTTATTTCTTCAACAAATACATTTTGAATTCTTATTATGTACCAGGCACTTTCAGTGGCTGTGAAAGAGGAATACAACTGACAAAAATGGGAAACTTGGACAAAAGATCCAGTTTGGTGGGTTGATGATGATTTAGTTAGTGCTATAAGGCTAAGGAACAATCCAGACATTCAGATGGAGAAATGAGGAAGGCAGCTGGAAATACAGCCTTGGATCTCAAGAGAAGAGCAAAATAATTACAGAAATTTAGATACTTAATAATTGAGGTAATGACTTATCTGTTTGGGGTGTGGCTGAGTGAGGAGATCCAAGACATCTAGATAAAGGGTCTCAGGAGACAGAGTTATAGTGTATACTTTTGAAATTAAATAATGTAAAAAGTAATACATGCTCATTGTAGTAATTCTAATACATACTTCTAATGTATATAAAGTAAACTTGGAAACTTTACCTTATATACCTGGCCTGATTGCTTCTCTGAAATTAATTCACTGAACACTGACAACATATGATCAAAGGAAGTCAGAAAAGTTTCTAATAAACTCTGGGAACACTTAGTGTGGGGCAAGTGCTACTATCTACTGTGTTCTTTTTATCCATTCATTCATTTACTCATTACTGAGTTAATCCACCAAATGCATATGATAATACTGAGTCAAGGCCTTATAACAAAGCCCTATATTCAGCATGTAAGAATAGGTAAGGATATGGTAGGTTATAGAAAGATTTTCATTGAAATGATAAAACATTGTTTAAGTGTTTTCCTACTAACGTGGTAAGCATTGAATATTTTGTAAAATTCATTTATATGAAATTCTTAATTCTTCATTGTCACAAGATATATGAATCACTACTATGGAGTAAATTTGATTTTTCATAATCCTTCAGCATCCAAGATAATCAGCTCTTATAAAACCCAGGGTGAAACAGTGGGATAAAAACTGTTTCATGAATGTGTGATTAACTCTAGGTTCTTCTCTCCTTTCCTGGCCTGAGCAGCATGACTGAAGGGCTGGGCCAATTGACAGATGGGGTGTCTGGCCTGGATGATTTCACCCAGACCCATGAATACCATGTGTGGCCGGGCTACGACTACGTGGGCTGGCGGAATGAAAGTGCCACTAATGGCTATATCGAGATCATGTTTGAATTTGACCGCATCAGGAATTTCACCACCATGAAGGTCAGTGGAATTAGATGTGGTGGACCTTTATCAAGAAGGCCAAAATCAATCATAGTATAGGAGAGAAAAAGGGTGCTAGAAAGATCACTGAGCTGATGCCAGCACAACTGGATTCAAATCTCCATTCCACAACTAACTAGTTACATGCATTTCAAAGTCACTTCATTTCTAAGGGTTTGTTTGTTTGTTTGTAAAGGCTGTAAGAGGGGTTTGACTAGGTCAGTAATTCTCAATTCCTTCCTTCCTCCTTTCCTCTCTCCCTCCCCTCCTTCCTTCCTCCCTCCCTCTCTTTCTCCCTTCCTTCCTTCCTTCCTACCTTTCTTCCCTGTCTCTGTCTCTGTCTCTCTCTCTTTCTTTTTCATCCTAACACCAGAGCCAATGTGTCTATTCCATTAGACACAGTAGTTATTTTATCAGCTTATTATTTCAGAGCAGTTAAAAGAATAGGTGCATTTTGTTGAGCGATTGGATGGAAGCCAAAGGCTTGGAACAGGTCTAAAGACTGTTATAGGATGGACTGTAGTAAATACAGGCACACAGGAAGAGCTAGGGGAGGAGGACTGAGGCCTGAGTTCCATTTTCTCTGAAGCAGGAGAATCTGATCTCAAAGTTAGAGTTGAGAACATCTCTGTAAATAAAATGTGTTTCCTGGCACTTAATCAAAATAATTGTTTTCCTTTTTCTTTACTCATTCCCAAGTTTGTTTCAGAGAGAAAAGAATGGAAAGGAAGAAAAGTCCATGCACAAAGCGACCAGATTGAATACTAAACCTGAATTCTAAGCTTGAGGAAAACTAGGACCCAGGGATGTGAAGGAAAGCCCTTTGGTTGGATGTCAGAAAGAGGATGCAGGATATTATATAGTTAACGTATAACTCTTACTGGTTTATGAAGTAGCATGAGGAGACCTCAATATATGACTCAAGAAAGAGTGGACAAATTAACTTGACGTCACACATGAATCCTTAATCTGGATGTTTTCTCCCAATTAATAATTGAGGGCAGAATATTACCACAAAATTCGTGACTCTGCCTGTATTTATACTCAGTCCTCAGCTTCAATGCTTGTTTACGAAATTCATCTATTCTATCTGTGTTACTAATTTATCAACTGTCTTTGGAGCATGTGTAGCACTATGTTAGATTCTGGGTATAAACAGGTGAATGTGATCTCTTTCTTGGGACACTTTGTAGTTCAGTGAGGAAGGTAATATTTATTTGCAAAAGGTTGTATGTAAGATGATATGGGACCCAAAAGAAGATCTGTGTTATTATTAAGGATTTCTACTAATGCAAAATTTGTTATTCCTTACACAAACTAGGTTTCAAAAATATGTCTTTTATATTATTTCCATATGTTAATGTGATAATATCTCTTAATTGTATTAGCAACTATTAGTTAAATGAACAAACATTTAAGATAAGAACAGAAGGATTAACGCATGCCCAATCTGCTAGTTTACTGTTCAAAAATAGCACTTTGTCAGTTGTAAAACATAAGTGAGTGCAACTGTATGCAACACATTATTCTTCACAAGTTTTTTTTTGAGTGGAGAGGGAAGAAAGGGAGTATGCATAGTAACAAAATATGCTGGGAGAGAAATTTTCTGTATTCCTGCATAATTTGTATTTCTACATATACCTATAAACATGTACATAGACTAACAAATTATGCCATTGGGGGACTTTCTAGACCAGTAAGTGATGAAATGCATTTTTAATCTCTTTATAAAGTTATAATACTTAATGGATAAATTTGACCTTCCTGAATATCCATAATTCTGTTTAACTAGTTTGTCACAGGTCAAAATTATCCAAGAGCTTAAATTGAAATGACAAGGTGCCAGAAACTTCTAAGGAGCAGATTCAAGGCAATCTTCTCATGGCTAAATGGGGGATTCCAGCATATTTTAATTTTTCTGGGCAAATAAAAAGTAAAAGATAGCTTTCCAGGTACTGAGGACTTCTAGAGAATACTTTTCCCCCGAGGTAAATTACTACTCATTTCCCCCCTTTGAATTATGGTTAAAATATACCATCAAAACATATTAATGAATTTTAGAGATATATTGTTTTATTAAATAAATATGTAAGGCCATATGGGAATGAAATCCTATGCTATTTATTTGCATTCCAGGAGAATTCCCAAGACATCTGTAGCAGAGATTATTACTTTCCCCACAGGATACTTATCCAACAGTTTGCAGATTTCAAAACATCTGAAAACTCTATTGAAGCTGTGGATGTATTTCTTTGATTTTTTTCTTAGCCTTACTCCACTAACTTGTGTTCAATAAATTGGAATAACTAATTCACTGCAAGGAAGATATTAACATGCATTTTCATCAGTAAAACATTTGGAGAAAAATCTAAATGGAAAAGTTAAGATGATTTGCCACATTTCCATGTGGCATGATGTGTGGAGTGAACATTAGACTTGAAGTACAGAGCTCGAGACCACAGGCACGGCAAACATCTCTGAGCCAATATCTCATAAGAAAATGAAGAGCTGAAGTAGATGATTTTTAAAATCTCTAATACCTCTGATGTTCTTTTCTTAGAATATATATGCTCTGGTCTTTAGTCACTGTTATGGTGAGAATATGCAATCTCCTCCACAGGCTTATGTGTTGAAAGTTTCATTCCCAGTTGGTGGTGATATTTTGAGAGGTGGGACCTAGTTGGAGGAAGTAGCTCCTAGGGACCTGCCCTATTTCCTCCTCACTATGCTTCCTGTTCACCATGAGGTGAACAACTCCTCCTTCATACGTTCCCTCTGCCATGATGTTCTGCCCATGCACACGGGGCCAAGCAACCATGGACTGAACCCTCTGAAACCATGAGCCAAAGTAATTTTTTCCTACTTTAATTTGTTCTCTCAGCTATGTAAAAGTAACTAATACCAAAAAAATTGGTACCAGAGAAGTGGGGTTGTTTCTGTGACTAAATCTGACCGTGAGGTTCTTAAGCCATTGGAACTGGTTTGTGGGAAGAATTTGGAAAGGTTTGGAGGATGTGGGCTAGAGAAAGCCCAGGATGCTGTTAGCAGAGTTTAATGAGTGATTTCTTGTGGGAGCTCACCACAAAATGCCAATAGAAATGCTAATAGTAAAGACTGTGCTCATCAGCTTTGAGGTGGAAATGAGGACTTTGGTGGGAATTAGAGTAGAGGCCATAATTGTTATATTCTGGCAAAGAATTTGTCTACATTTTGTCCATGTCCTGAATCTTTGAGTGAGGGTGAATTTAAAGTAATGGATTAATTAATTTGGTGGAGGAAATTTCAACACAGCATAGCATTAGTCTGTGACATGAATATTGCTGACTGCTTTTAACCAGGTTTACAGTGAGAGTTGGGAGCAAAATCCAGAGCAGAAAGATTAGAAAAACATACAGTTTGTCCAGAAAATAAGCATGTCTAAAGTTGCAGACATGGAAGGCAGGGTTGTTAAAGAGATTAGTGCCATTAAAAATGAAACAAGCACTTTGCACTGGGACAGTAGGAAACATATTGTGAGGGTATCTGAGGAATTTGTCAGACCTCCACCCATTGCATGGTCCAGGCTTTAAAACTGTAAACTCATTTGAAAGATTTTCCCTTGAGAGGAGAGTGCCTTTTGGGGGTACCCTACTCTCACTGGGCTGACCAGGAGGAATTTCTCGGGGTTCAGACACTCGGCAGTCAGAGACCACTGCAACCATGGGCCAGGTGGGTCCTGTTACTGCTTTCACTGGCAGCAGAGACGGCCATCACCCATGTGACGGCTTTGCAGGCAAAGATGCAAGAGCTTCAGGGCCATGGAGGCTTCCACCCAGATTTCAAAGGAATACCTAAGGAGTTCAGGTAATGTGCAGCAGAGTCAGGATCCCTGTGGGCAGTCTTTGAGAGGGTAATATTTGAAATTGCCAGGGGCTGCCCAAATCATCTGGAGCTTATCATGATACCATGTGTCCTAGATGCTAGACATAAAGCTACAGAATTTAGTGTTTGCCTGCTGTGTTTTGGTCTCACTCTGGTCTGATCATTCCTTGCTATTCTCCTATTCTTCCTTTTTAGAATGGGAATACTTACTCTATGCATTGTGTCCTGGAAGTATATGACTTTCTTTTTGATTTTACAGGGGCTTGCAGAGTCTCTCAGTGGAGACTCTGGAGTTAGACTTTTGGACAATGTTGGAACTGTTCAGACTGGGGCACTCTTGGAGATGGATAAAATGCATTTTTCATTATAAGATGGTCATAAGCCTTTGGGGGCCCAAGAATGGAAAGCTAAGGTTTTAATATGAAACGTTCCCTCACAGGATAATGTCTTGAATGCTTGGTTCCTATTTTGGGAGTTTTTAGAAACTTTAGGACATGGAATCTGGTTGGAAGAAGTAGGTCACTCAGTGAATATCTTTGAAGGTTATACCTGGTCCTCTATTCCTTTCTTGCTTCCTGTCTACCAGGAGGTGAACAGCCTCCTTCTCCACATGCTCCCACCAACATGATGTTCTACCCAAGCACATGGGGCCACCCAACCATGGACTGAACCCTCTGAAACTGTGAGCCAAAATAAATCTTTCTTCTCTCAGATGTTTTGGTCACAACTACATAAAAGTAACTAATATAGTCTTTTGGTTTCTATCATCATTACTGCTCCTCATTTGGCTAAAATTATTTCTGAATGTTAGTCCTTTATTTACTATTCAGAAGCCAGAGTAGAGAATCAAAGATAGTTAAAGGACTACAATTCAGGGCCTAAGCAAGAAATTAAAGTGGAAACAGGAGCTATATTCCTTGAATGACAACTACGCATTTCCAGCCTATGAATCCTTAACTTCAGTGGCCAGCAAAGATCCATTTTCCAAGTAAGATTAAGTTTGGTAGTTACTAAACTACCAAAAGGAACTTGAGTCAATTATAAGCAGACACATTTCATTTTTGTGGGCTATGACACAAGAAGGTGCTACTACAGAAGGACTGTTGTGGAACTTTTGCTCCTGATAACCTTAAAATCCATTCAAACATCTTGGTGAAAGGGTCATGGCAGCAGTCAAGAGGATGCCAGTTAACTCCCAATAGATGTTCTTTATTTTCAGTCTCAGAAATTATCAGTGAGAAATATTTGATACCCTGAATTTAATTAGCAGAGACAAATAGGTTAGTGTCTCTGGCTGAAAAATGCTAATATATAGCACTCAAAATGAGATTTATAAAAAGAAAGATGAAATTGTATTGGTTTGTTTGTATATTCTTTCAGGTTTCTTCCCTAACCCTGTTGAAAAGGAGTTGTCTGACTCTGGAATATATCTAGGAGGAAGTAGGATGGTGTTCTGCTACATACCTCAGATTAAAATAGCTCAAATGTGGATAGATAGCAGCTGCGGTTGGAAGATTGTAGACCCAAGACAGTTGAGGCAGGGAAGGACCTGGGAGGGTGCTGGCTCACCCCTCATTTAATAGATGAGATACGGAAAGTTTGGCATCAAGAAGTTAGATATCCAGAGCATACAGTTGCATTGTGGTAACCTGGGTTACAGCCTAGGTTTTATAAAGCCTGATTAATATATCACAGCTACTATGAAGTTCCTAGAAGCAAAAATCCAGAAGACAGCAGTACATGAGCTATTTGCCAATGGTGGTACTCAGAGAAACTAGCAAGTCTAGAATTTCACTGGGTTAGCCTGTGCCATGTCCCATACAACTCAGTAGGACCAACTTGTCACTCACAGCTCTCTTTCTTTGTCAGGTCCACTGTAACAACATGTTTGCAAAAGGTGTGAAGATCTTTAAGGAGGTACAGTGCTACTTCCGGTCTGAAGCCAATGAATGGGAACCTAATGCTGTCTCCTTCCCCCTTGTCCTGGATGATGTCAACCCCAGTGCTCGGTTTGTCACAGTGCCTCTCCACCACCGAATGGCCAGTGCCATCAAATGCCAATACCATTTTGCTGACACCTGGATGATGTTCAGTGAGATCACATTCCAATCAGGTAGGAAGCCTGGGCACCACAAGTAAGTTGGAGCAAGATGATGAAGGCATGCATTCAGGTTGCCCACAGCAGGTCTCTGAGAGGAGTAGGGTTGAATAGGAGGCTTCTCGTTGGTGAACGGAGAGAATCCTCTATGTAGCTAGTTTTAGTTATGAAGGAGCAGGGGTGAGAATGGCAGTGAAGAGACTATTTACTTACCTCTTCCTCATTAAACACTTGTCTAGAGGAGATTTATGGTAAATTAGAATTAAAAGTGATAACACAACATGTCAAAAACTGTATCAATTAAGGCTATTAAGAGGAATTACACTACAGAACTATTAAAATATTCAAATGACAATTTCTAAATATTATACACAAAAGTAGGGAGGATGGTGAACCCATATCCGTCACTCAGCTTTACTCTCAATATTTTGCCAAGCTTGTTTGATCTATTTTTCTCTTTTTTCTGTAGTGTTTTAAAGTAAATCCCAAAACATTATCTGATTTTCTTACTAAAATTTTTGGACAGCACCTAAGAAAATTACACCATCTTGATAAGAATAATGTCATTTAGAACAACTCACAATATTTATTAATAAATAATACCTTAATATCACCTAGTATTTTGCCATCTAATATTTTAGAATTCAAGAATTCCCCATTTCTGATAATGTTTTGCTATAGTTGTCTTGATTGAATCAGGATCCAAACAAAGTCCTCTTGGGCATTTTCTTTATTATATCTCCTAGATATATCTTTTAATCTAAAACAGCCCCCAATTAAATCTTTGTGGTTTGGCTGATTGCTTTCTCTGGTGTGAGTTTACTTGAGCTTCTGTTCTCTGTCATTCCTATAAACTGCAAATTATAGCTATGGTATAATTTGATTCAATTTCAATAGTTATTTTTGTCAAGACTTCTTTATATTGAGCCATCTCTTAGGCATGCAATGGATTCTTTCACTTTTAGTGATACTAAGATTGATTTCTGATTTTAGGTGGTTGTCTCTTCATGGGAAAGTTTCCCATGAACTTCTTCCATTGGTTTTACCTTCCATTGATAATCCTTGCCTGAATAGTGTATCAGGGTTTGCTAAATGGTAATTTTCTATTTTTTTTTGGTGTGTTGGAGGTTCTCATGCTTCCTAGGTAGGAACTCTATCACTTGAGCCATGTCCCTATTCCTTTTGTGCTTTAGTTATTTTTCAGGTAGAGTCTTGCATTTTCACCCTTAACCAGCCTTAGACCATGATACTTCTACTTATGGCCTCCCATGTAGCTGGGACTACAGATGCATGACACCACGCCTGGCTTATTGACTGAGATAGGGTTTTGCTAACTTTTTGCCTAGGCTGACCTTGTACTGGAATTAGAGGCATGAACCATTGTGCCCCACCTAATTCTTTTATTCTTTCTGCATTTATTATTTGAATTTCAGTTTTATTTCCTCATGCACTTCTTTACCCTGAAATACAGTTCATGTTGGAAATGAAGGATACACGATTGCCATTTCCCCCTTTAATTATCAATTTTAAGAGAAATGAATTGATGTCCTGGCAACCCTCCCTGTTGTCTAATGGGTTTTTGTTTTCACCCTTGTTCTTTTTTTGACAACATTGGGGTTTGAACTCAGGGCCCCACACTTGCTAGGCAGTCACTCTTACTGCTTGAGCCATTCCACCAGTCCCCCCCTTGTTTTGTTATTTATTTATTTATTGCAGTGCTGGGGCTTGAACTCAGGGTCCACACTTTGAGCCACTCCAATAGCCCTTTTTTGTGAAGGTTTTTTGAGATAGGGTCTTGCAAACTATTTGCCTTGGGCTGGCTTTGAGCTGCAATCCTTCTTATCTCTGCTTCCTGAGTGGCTAGGATTACAAGCGTGAGCACCGAGCTTGTTTGGTTTTTTAGTATCATCATATATTCGTTGCTTCTTATAAACTCAGTATTTAATCAATCACAATTGTTATTTTTTTTTAATGCTCAAGTTGTTCTATCTTTAAGGACCTTTAAGCTATGTTCCTTGGCTCTGACTCTATAAGCCTTTGATGACTTTCTTCTTTTCTGAAAGAACAAGATGTACCAAGTGCACCTTGAGCATTTGCTCCCCAGCCATGGAATCAACAATTTCCTCAAGAAATCTTGATTCTTTAGAGGGGAATGACGGTTAGAGACCACAAATTGAGCAAGAAGAATGATCATTGCTATTAGGTTACCATCACTTCTTGGATATTTTTCAATGGAAAAAGTTAAGAGATATGTATATTTAAAAAGAACAAAATCAAGATTTCAATTTGCTACTTCTGATTCAAATGAAAGATAAAAAGATTTTTACTTAAATTTGATTTTACACTTAGATCTCTTTTTATTTATGCTATCATTTTCACTATCAATATCAACGGCATTTGCTTTATCATATGATTCAAAATCATAAAACGAATATTAATACTACAATCATAACTATTGAATGAGCCTTAAGATGTCTTTGCAATTCTCTTTTTTTTGTCCTTAGTATATATCCTACTGAAGATGTGCACTCAAAATACTCTGTTCAAATGTCAATTTGAATAAGGGTGGAATAATTTTTTTCTCTGTGTAGCTACTTTGCCAAGATGATATACAGACAGTTCATTTTATTCAGGTTTTTTCAACTCTTAGGGATTCACTTAAAAATTTAAGCATTGTTCCTAATTTTACTATTCTTGAGCAAATACTGATTGAGCTTATTGGAACCAGGCACTGTGCCAAATCTTGAAAAGTTAAAAGACATCTGGGACATTGGCCAAATCATTAAATTTTAGATAGGGAGAAAAAAATCAATATAGTGATTTTTCAAAAACTATCCAAAGTGGTACCAACAATAGGTGATACCAAAGGAGTGAGACTTGTACCAGTCTTGGAAGAAGAGTAAAGTAAAAAATAATATGAGGAGAGGCTGACTTAACAATAAACCAGAAGATACCATAATTTATTCTCTTTCTTTTCTTTTTCTCTTCTGGGGATTTAACTGGGGTCTTCTGGTTGCTATGGAAGTGCTCTGTCACTTGATCCATAAGCCAGTCCTTTTGCTTTTAGTTTGTTTTCAGATAGGTTCTCAAGCCTTTGCCTAGGTTGGTCGCAGACCGTGATCCTGCTACCTCTGCCTCTTGAGTAACTAGGATTACAGTTTGTGTGTCTGGCTTGTTTTTGACATAGGGTCTCAGTAACTTTTGCCCAGGCTGGTCTCAAACTGTGCAGTCCTCCTATCGCCACCTCTCAAGTAGCTGGGATTACAGATGTGTACCACAATTCCAGGATAGATCCCATCCTTTCTGATATTATTTTTAAAAGAAGAAAATTTCAAGGTGGTTTGTTCATTAACATGTATGGATAAGGAAACAAAGTATATATTTAGAAATAATGTTTGGTGCCTGAATGCTGTCTATGCCAATGATACAATCTAAACATAAATGGAGTGGTTATTTTACAAAATGTCTATTCAGAGCAGAAATGCTCAAAAAGCAGTGTCACTTATGTTTTAAGTATAAGCTGGGGAACAAATAGATTCCCATCTATCTTTGGGGATTTCCTTGGCAGAGTAATTGGTATGTTTACTTTATTTTGGCTAATTATAGTAATGAACTATGTTATTTGACTCTTGGGAACTCTTGAGCTTTAAATCCAATGTCATAATAATATTAGTTCCCACTAGAGTCTTGAGAATTCAATTCAGAAACTACATGTTGATGCCAGACTTGTATAATAATATTAAGAAGAAAAATTAGCATTTTTGGAAAGACTGTTCCTTAGAAGGGGAATGCATATTCTAATTCTTGACCACTCTGAGTACACAAATCAGAGGGAAAAATTAGTTGCCAACTTTAGTCTGGCGAATACACTTTTGAAGCTGTCAGAAGTTGCAGCCTCACAGTAAAGGACATGTCAATGTCAAGAATCCATCTCTAAGGGTGAATGAAGCCTTAATCTATAAACTAAAGAGCTAAGGCAATGAGACATACTGAAAACCCCCTTATAAAGGACAGAGCATCTTAGCAGTATGCTTCATCCATGCTCAGTTACCCACTGTATTCTCGCTACATTTTTTGAACTTGGGTACTGCCTCCTGTGCAGACTTTATGTGTTGTCAGATTCTCTGAATAACCATTTTTTGTTCTACTATATTTAGTGTATAATATTTGAGACAAAAATTTTGCAAAATTTGCTCTAACCATATTGATGATTATATTTTTACTTAATATATTTATTATTTCATTTTATTTTGTTTTTAATTGACATAATAATTATACCTAGTTATAGAGTAACATGTGACATTTCAATATATGCATCCATTGTATAATAATTAAACTAGGATATTTTCATTTTCACAAAAGGCTATTGGCCATCCACTAAGTTTATTTCACAATGTGTTAGGTCATGAACTGCATTCAGGTAAAGAATCACCTGGCTTTCTTCTCCCCAGCACTGACTTGCTCTTGTTCTGTAACAGATGCTGCAATGTACAACAACTCTGGAGCCCTGCCCACCTCTCCTATGGCACCCACAACCTATGGTATGTGTGATTCCTAGTTATAAAAATTAAGTTGAAGCACCTCCTGGAGGATGAAGAAGGGTGGAGATTTTCAAAGGCCTGACTGTCTATGTGGGAGGCTTGATTCCAGGTGGCTTTGGATGAAGAGTAGCCCTGGAAAGGTAGGCTAGTCCACCTCCAAAGTTAGGAGCCCAAACTTACTCTCTTCATTAGTCATTCATGTGATTCTTCAGCTGAGAGGGGCAGAATCTAGAGTGTTATAATTGCTACACAAAAGTTTAAGAAACTTTGTGCAGAAATAAGGGGGACATTCCAAATAAAATGAATGGGAGGAAGTCTATGAAAAAAACGTTATTCTTTCTAATTGGAGATAATATGCAAAAGTGGATTTTTAGCTTCAGAAAGTCATTGGCCATACTGGCCAGCTATCTTGGAAACATGTTTGATTGAGAGTCTCCAAAGAGGATTTTCATTTACCTTGGCCCATCTCAAAGAATGAGGAGAGTAATACTTATTCCTTGCCTGTTCTTCATGGAATGTAATGAGGGACCTATAGATCTTGGCCATAGTAATATAGAGACAAAAATTTTGGAAGGACAGAACTCTTCATTATGCAGTCTGAGACATAGGGAGAGGGAGGCTACTGTCCTATGGTGGAGGATTATAGTAGACAGGAGCAAAATAATAAATACATAACAAAATCAAGAGTAAGCAGAAATGTGAAGGTGGCTTCTTCTGGAGCTACTCTGAAGAACAGGATCTATCTCCATGCCTCATTCCTGTTTCTCAGGCTTTTTCTTGCCTTGTGAGATGATTATGTTCTCTGCCTTCTCTTCCTGGTCTCAGATCCAATGCTTAAAGTGGATGACAGCAACACACGAATCCTGATTGGCTGCTTGGTAGCTATCATCTTTATCCTCCTGGCCATAATTGTCATCATCCTGTGGAGACAGTTCTGGCAGAAAATGCTAGAGAAGGTGAGGAAATGCAGAATTGGAATGGGACAGGAAGCTGTGCCTCTTTCCTAAACTACCGTTGCATCAGGAGTGAAAGGCAGATTGTGAGAATTTATAAATGTCTAGAGTTACCTGAAGGTAGCAAGAAGCATAGGAACAGAGAAGTTTATTGGTGAAAGGAGCTAGAAAAAGACTTAGATAGGTCTATTCTCTCAGTTTTAGAGTAAGGATTTTGTAACCTCTCTAGAAATCTCAGAAAGCTCTTCCTAGTACATTGAATCTCAACTTAGGTCTTTCCTGTGATGTTTCCGATTCACTGTGCCTGAAGTAGTGTAGGCACCTGTACGTATTTTTTTAACTTAACAAGTGATTCTGATGCACAAGCAAGGCTGAGAATCACTCTTCTAGTGCCTAGGTCAAATTTCTGGTAATGCTGTTGAAATTCCTTCTCTTTCTCTTTTTTTTGTTTGCTTGTGTGTGTATATTTATTAGAACACAGAAAAACTCTAAAGATTGAGATCTTTAGTTATTGATAGGTTCTCATAGCATTATGTAAATAATGCTTATCAGTGCTTATTGAAAGTGTGAGTGTATAGAAAAATATCTAGTCTCATTAATATCCAAATTTCTTACAATTTTATTCTCATGTCTTTGTATACTTGAAAGTTATGATCACGTGTCTCTCTGAGTCCCTCCTCTTCCTATCCAGGTCAAATGACCTGAATAATTTTTAGTTACATTTATCTAATATTTTACAGTCTACAAAGATCTATTTCTTTTGTGTTATTTTATAGAACCTCTTTGTGTAATGGTGACATGGGCATATTAGTTACATTAAGCTGGTGTTTTTGATGAGAAAATGCGATGTACTCAAGATCAGAAAACTAGTATTCTGTCTTCTATGTTGTTTTTAACTGATCAGTATTGGAATATGTTTTCTTATTTCTTCTAAAATTTATACATTTCACCAAAGATGGAGTATCCATAATTTTCTTGGCTTCTCACACTAGAGAACAGCTCAATAAATACTACTGCTGAGTGTCTGATTCTCTTCTGATTCTTTTGAGTTCTGCTGATGACAAAGTATTGCCATCTTTGGCTATGGACCTTTTCCCTGGTCAATGAGTTCTTGTCAATGGATACAGTCATTGAATCTTTGGGCTGTGAGGCTTTGCACTGCCTGTCAAGAACAGGGGCCAGGAAGGAGGGCATTGCCTATGTCACAGTAGCTTCTATATAGAGTATATTTCAGAGGGGGACACAATGAGAGCGGTTTTGAGCTTTTAGAATTCTTTGCATGAAGGACAGGAAGGAAAGGGCTCAAACCCAAGAGGTGACAAGAGCAATCCAGACAAGCAGCCAACAATTCTTTCTGACCTGCTCCACATTCAGGTTCCTAAGATGATTGAGGTTTAGTTTCAGGTCTGTAGGCAAGAATATCTCACAGGAGAGAGCATCTCCTTGCTTCCCAAAGGGCCTTTAACATCTGCCTGAAATCACTTTACCTAAATTAAAGCCTTTAATCCACAGTGTCTAAAGACTTAAAGGCAGAATCCATCCACAAAGCACTCATCCATTGGCACGAATATGTCTAAAGGTATCAGTGAGGCTCTGTTAAGATCCTTCCTTTTTCATAATGTTGGAACACAGTGTCTAAATGAGGAGTTCCAGGGTGAAAGACAACAAAGGAAGGGTGGTAGTGGTAAATTAACTGAGGGATCATTACAAAGCTGGAAGCTGACACACATCCTTACTGAATGGTCTGTTAGGACTGCATTTTCATTAAAGGAGGAGAATCTTTATCCTCTGCTCTAAAATCCCTTTTCTCTTTATTTGATCCAGAATTCACCACCAACCTTCTTTCTTCTGAGGCCTGTTGAAATATTTTCATGGGCTAGGAGAGGAATATTGGATTGGATACTATTCAGATAAAAGGGAAAGCAAAAATTTTTCCTTTGAATATTTAACTTCAAGAAATTCTTTCTACCCCTGTTCATCCTGAGTAAGATAACTCAAGATGCTTTGGAATGACACTCATGATTTCTTTCTAGAGATAGAATTTTTTTGGGAAAGCCTTTAAGTGTACACATATATACCAAGATCATTATTTAGCACATCTTTTATCTGCAGCATTATTTGTAGGATACTTTTTGATGGTGTCCTTAGCATTAGTTGTTTGAGAAAGTCAATCCACACTTATTGAGTACCTACTATGTGCTGGGTCCATGTTTGTGTTGGTAATATTGCTACAACAAGGGACCATTCAGTCCAGTGGATAAAGTAGACATCTGTTCCCCCATTGAGCACTCTCAGTATGTTTGTTGAAGTGGAAAATTTTGTATATTTAAAAAAAAATTTTATTAACATAAATTAGTTGTACAGGGGAGTTTCTTGGGACATTTCTATATGTGCTTACAATGTGCTTTGCTAGATTCACCCCCTTCATCACTCTTCCTCATTCCACTCCTTCCTTATTATAACAATTTCAACATTGTTCTATTTTCATACAAGTATATAAAGTAAGTCCAGATAGTTACATGCATTTAGATGCTAGCACTTTCCTTTCGATGGAGCAGGGAGATTATGCTAGATGATATACCATAACAATGAGTTATTTGAGTGTCTGTCTGTGTTAGATGTAATCTGCCATGGTGTCCTCAGACACTAGGTATCCTGTCAAATTTTGTGCTGTTTTATTTTTGGTTAAAAATTTGGGGTTATAACATACTTGTGCATGAAAGCAATGCTAGCACTCTCTCTGTATAGCTATCCTTATCTCAACTAGCAAAAATGCTTTGTCTTTCTTCAACAAAATTAGAGAAAAGGGCAGAACAGGTTCTGCCTGGAACAGTGGGGGAGTGGGGGAGAAATAGCCCAAACAATGTATGAACATATGAATAATGAACAAAAAAAAATGTAGGGCCAGAAGGGTGTTTTCCTAACCTACAGTGCTAGGGTGATCAGGTAAGCTATTAATCCATTATGTTATAGTGCTTCTGTGGAGTTAATGAACATTTTAGTTGATTTCATCCAAAATTAAAGCAGCTAAAGAGTAAGTCAGCAAAACCTATTATTTACTAGAATACAGAAAACTCTAAAGATTGAGAAGATCTTTGGTAATTGATAGGTTCATTATGTAAATAATGCTTATCAGTGCTTCAATGAAACTTAATGAACATTGGTAACAGAAATTTGGAGGTGAAATTCTGCATTGAAGAAATGAAGGATTTGTGGAATCAGATTGCATCCCTGTCACCTGCAGTGTTTTGTGGGGTTGGCAGGAGTAAGCATAGTGGAAGGACAGTGTTTCAGGGAGGAAGTAACGATCCCCTCTATACCAGCATATCGTTTTCCGCATTCTTCTCATCCAGGCTTCCCGGAGGATGTTGGATGATGAAATGACAGTCAGCCTTTCCCTGCCAAGCGAGTCCAGCATGTTCAACAATAACCGCTCATCATCACCAAGTGAACAGGAGTCCAACTCGACTTATGATCGCATCTTTCCCCTTCGCCCTGACTATCAGGAGCCATCCAGGCTGATACGAAAGCTCCCAGAATTTGCTCCAGGCGAGGAAGAGTCAGGTGAGGATGAAACAGTGGGATTTAAGGGAGCAGCCATGGCATACATGATGTAGGTTAACTTGCTTCTAGTTAACCAATTTATTTTTGGCCTATGCTGGCCTCCTAATAAATCCATACCCCCTAGATCTGGTTTGCTGCAGCTTCTAGACTAATCTAAGATCTTTGCCCTTGAACATAACATGTTTGAAGGGACCTACATATTGGAAGAGGAAAAAAAATAAAATGTATACTAAGGTGTTAATATCAGAAGAACTTGAACAGTCTAATTAGGTGGACCTCCTTGTTTTACATGTGAGGAAAGTGAGAAGGCACAGGTAGGGCTTACCCAACACCAAACATCGTCAGGAGTAAATTTAGGACTGGAGTTTCTTCTGGAGAAAAAATGATTTAAGTGAAATTAAAGACATCTTAAACTTCCCAGTTTTGTGGCAATCTGGATAATGGAGTTATCTAAGTATTATTGTTTCTCTTTGGTAAACATGTATTAGAATAATACAAGATTTTGTTATGAGAGTAAATATTTCTCAATAAAAGTATTGAATAAGGCAAAATAGTGCCAGTTAATCTAGCACCATGGTCTTTTTTAAAGTGCTGCAGAGTGACATCAGAAGGGATATTGGGGTCATCTCTGATGCTCAGAGCAGCTTGCTTATAAGGTCATCAACCAAAGGATGACCAAGTCAGTAGAAGAGGACTTATGTCCAAGGGAGAGGAACTCAGCCTGAGCCAGGCCGAAAGGATCTTGTAGAAGAAGAAAGGAAACTAACATTCATTTTGCTACTTAATAAGGGATGGAAAACATTGAATGATCACAGAGGCACCAAGACTAAAGAATATAAACTAATTTATTTCATAGGCTGAACTAGGTAATGTACCTATTTTCTGAAATCTAAAACATCCCCCACTTCATAGTTTAATTTTTTAAAGTTATGATGTGTCTTAAAGTTTTTTAACCCCTAAAATATGCTTTTAAGTCAATGATAATGTTTTGAAATTAAGGAAATATTCTATTAAACCTTTAATCTTTAGTATTCCCACCCTGATGTAGTATGAGCTTTCCTATCACTGTGCCACATAATTCCAGAATATTAGCCAGGACAGTTGTTAATGATCATGGTCTATGAGAAAGATGAGAAAAAAAGCTTATTATAGGCATGTGCCCATAACATCAGTTACTCCGGAGGTTAAGGCAGGAGGATTTTGAGTTTTAGGCCAGCCCAGGCAAAGTTAGTGAGACCCTATCTATCTTAAAAACAAAAATATCCAAACAAAAGGGTGGGGGGATGGCTCAAGTGGGAGAGTACTTGCCCAGCATGAACGAGGCCCTAGGTCTAATCTCCAGTATCACTTAAAAAAAAAAAAAAGAATGAGTAACAAAATGGTGGATTATATTTTGAAGGCCACAGGAAGACTTTTTTGAGGAAGCAAAACCGTTCTTCAAGTTAAGAATTTACCAGTGGGAGGGGGGAGGATATAAGGAAAGGTGTGGGAGGGTGAATATGTACTCATGTATGAAAATGGAAAAATGAGAACTGTTGAAATTATTCCAGGAATGGAGAGAGAGATAAAGGAAATTGATAGAGGGGACAAATTCAACTATAATATACTGTAAGAACTTTGGTAAGTGTCACAATGTACACCCAGTACAACAATTAAAAAAAATAATGTCATGAAGTAAATTAGGCTATCATAGGGTCATGTTTTAGCACTTCTCTCAGATTTCCTTTCTTAATAAGATCTCTAAAGGTGCCCCTTGGAAAGGGACTCATTGTCCTTGTTTTCTCAGGCTGCAGTGGTGTGGTGAAGCCAGTCCAACCCAGTGGACCTGATGGGGTACCCCATTATGCAGAGGCTGACATAGTGAATCTACAGGGGGTGACAGGAGGTAACACCTACTCAGTGCCTGCTGTCACCATGGACCTGCTCTCAGGAAAAGATGTGGCTGTGGAAGAGTTCCCCAGAAAACTCTTGAGTTTCAAGGAGAAGCTGGGAGAAGGCCAGTTTGGGGAGGTAAGTGGATCTTTTGAGTGAGAGCTCCAGGTTTTGGTAGAAGGAAGTGGGTACATAAAAATGATCAGTAGAACAAAGTGTCCCTTCCAGAAGTGAGTTTGCAACTGAATGTGTCCTCCAGTTGTCTTTCTTTATATTGCTTTTGGATAGCTACTTTCAGGTCAATTTTATCTTTTCCAAACAGTTGTGGAGTTCCTGGGACTTCTGACTTTCTATACAGGAGTTTTTAAGGCAGGCAAGTCACTAGACTTCAGATATTCCCCCAAAATATTCAGTGTTTTAAAAAAAAATGTTTATAGTAGGTTACTGAGGGTGGGGCTCACAAGATGTGATCATCTTTTATGAATTGTTCAGGAACACCCTGCCACTTGATATCACTTTGGGTTTTTTTCCCTTTTAATGGGAGTTATACACAAAATGGTCAAAAACAACCTCGCCCCTGCCTTTGGTCCCAGAATTAGTCACTAGGGAATGAATCACCAACTAGGAAAGATAAGGAGTGCTCTTCCCAATTGCCATTTGAGTGATGCATGTAGCATTGAACTTTTTACTCTTGCATCAGTAGCATGGACCTCTGACAACTCAGACCAATGTTTTAAGTTATAACAGAAGTTCTTTGACATTGCCATTTAAACCCCAAATAAATATGTGATTTTCAATGAATATGTTATTGGTTTCCAGTATGGGTCATATGTTCACCCCTTGGTTAGGTTTAGTGTTGGAGGAGATAGAGGGGCCCATGTTAACAGTGTTATAAGGACTCATTTTCTCCCATGGGTTGAAAGCCTGAGCTCATTATTATGCTGTTACTAACACATAGGAATAACTTGCAATGCTAAAACCCACACTAAGGGATTATTTAGGAAACTGCCTTATGCTTATATGACCCTGTAACTAAACTAAACCTTCTCAAATCAAAGTTTAAGCTTGTACTGAATGATATTTTATAGTGGGACTATGCTAAAAATACTGTGTTATAGTATTCAATGTTCCAATCAATGTATATTTGATTTTTATAATGCAACATGTCATATCAGCTGGTACTTTACCACTGTTTTAAATTTAATCAATTATTTGAATCAAAGATATGTTACACATATCTTCTTATTGGTCTTTTGATTATTTTGCCTGAGTTGTAAGAGTTAGTTTATCTCCAGGAAATGCCCAGCAAGAGTACTGAACCATCTTCAAGAGCAATGATGATGCTGAGACTAGATGACTTTTGTCTAGGTTCACCTCTGTGAAGTGGAGGGAATGGAAAAATTCAAAGACAAAGACTTTGCCCTGGATGTCAGTGCCAACCAGCCTGTCCTGGTGGCTGTGAAAATGCTCCGAGCAGATGCCAACAAGAATGCCAGGTCTGTGGTCTGCATTTTGAATTTTCCTTTACTTATTTCATTTTGAGGACCAGGAATATTCCTGGAGATTTCTGAGTATGTTTTCTTTTCTTTTGAGAGGAAGGTCTTTGAGCTGCCTTACATTTCCATAGTTATGCTTTATTTTTCTAATGGAGACAGAAGTCTTACTCTTTTCCTCCATCTCTCTCAAATACAAATGTACATTTTTATTTTATTTGCCATATATTTACTTCCTGCCTACATTTGTACAGCATTGTACTTCCCAATACACACAATAGTCTAGATATGTTTTCCTCAATCATTATATACTTATTTACTACTAAATGTCATTACTTCTTTTAGGTATACTTTTCACTATCATGTGCATCTTTCTCACTAAGCCTCTTTCATTCTCCTTTTTGCACATCTCTACTCACTTAGCCTTTCTTTTTATGCTCCTTTTCTTCCAAGTTCAGAAACCCCCAAATGAGAAACTACCTCTGTTTGGGAAAGTATCCATGGACCTGAAAGCAAAAGGACCCACGATCCTTTAGCAGTTTCCAAAACTGGCTAATAATCTCTTGGATCCTTTACTACATAAATTGCAGTTTCCAGCCACACTGTTGTCTGACAGCCTTTCCACTACAGTCATGGTGAGCTAATCCTCACCCTGAGAGGCATGCTCGTTGCAAGATGGTTGCTTATGTTTCAGAGAAATCTGCACACTTGGATAACATATGTATTTTCCCATTTGTGTTGTCTTGATTTGTCTTGCTGATATTCATAATGACAGTAATCTTATTATACCTATTCCTCAAACTATAATAAATTCCCCCAAATGGTTATAGTTTCCATTGAAAGTCCTATAATTGGAAGGATGCCGAATGAAGAAGAGAGAAAGGTGAGGGAATGGAACTGTGTAGGTTTTTGAATTTTAATTGAGAATGTAAGTCTTAAGGATATCATTGTGAAAGGAGAATGATGTTCTCTGGTCCCATAGAGAGATGGAATATTCCAAGATTAGAGAACATGGCAAAGAGAAAAAATGCAGATGATATGCAAAGTCTTTATCAGTTGTTGTGGGTGGTGAGGTTTGCTGCACTCTACCTGCGTCGCCCATACTTAACAGTGATGAATTTCCTAGATTCTGGGCTCTCCCAAGCCACTGAAACCCTTTAACCCTCTGGGGTTAAAGGAAAATGAAAAAGAGGAGATGTTGAATCAGGACATAGTGTGACTTCCAGTGCAGGACACCTATAAAACTCACAGGAGACTTATAACTGATATGTTCCAGTAGTTTTGGGAATGTGAGGTAGTGACCTCACTAATACAAATGTTGCTATTCTCTCACTCAATTATTTATTAGTCTTAGCCCAATGAGTACTTCTTTTGAAATCACCCTACTTGACCACCTTGGCATTTTAAACAAGTGTTTGAACAGGCTACTCAATATATGTTGTGATTGACTGCTAGTGCTGACTGCGTTAAGAAAAGTCAGTTTGAGATAATAAAGAATTATCAGATAAACAGAGGGTTGTTATCCACTTTACGAAGTTATTTTATTAATAGTGTGTTTCTGAGGCTTTTTTGAAAAGACAAAGACCCTAATGCACTCAAGACATGATTCTCAGTGAAAAATTTCATTTTCTAGAGTAGTTTTTAAGAAGCATATATAGATAGATAGGTAGATAGATAGGTAGATATAGATTCAGTAAATGTTAATCACTTTATAATAAAATGGCAGGCATCTCATTAAATGCTAGGAGTGCAAATGTGAGTTAAATCATGAATCTTGTTCTCAAAAACATTATAGTTGAATGAAGGCCCATCATGCTCCAGGAAGAGTTGAATGAGACAGTTCTAATTGGCAAGCAAGACTTGCTGTATTGGGTGGGAATAGATGTTACTATGTGTTCTTCCCCTCTTGATTCTGACTCTGGAAACCTCTAGCTTGATCTATGTTTATGTTCTCCAAAGGAATGATTTTCTTAAAGAGATAAAAATCATGTCTCGGCTCAAGGACCCAAACATCATTCATCTCTTAGCGGTGTGTATCACTGATGACCCCCTCTGCATGATCACGGAGTACATGGAGAATGGGGATCTCAATCAGTTTCTTTCCCGTCATGAGCCCCCCAGTTCTTGCTCCAGCAATGTGCCCACTGTCAGGTAAATAAGCCAGGTCTTTTGGTTTTTTCTTACTCACGAGAGTAAGCTGGGATCTGAAAATGCAGAGCAGTGAATCTTTAAGTTAATCATTGTTCTGGAATGGTGGGGGAGGGAATCATGGAATAGCTTCATGATTTAGAAGAATTCAAAGGGATTCATTAAGAATAAGTATGATATGTTGAAGTTTCAAACCTGGTTTGATATCAACTTTAGAATGTGTACCTTTCATAGCTTCCTGTTTCCATAGGCTACTTTCTCTTTTCTTGTGTGTTTCCTCAGTTATGCTAACCTGAAGTTTATGGCTACCCAGATTGCCTCTGGCATGAAGTACCTTTCTTCTCTTAATTTTGTCCACCGAGATCTGGCCACACGAAACTGCTTAGTGGGTAAGAACTACACCATCAAGATAGCTGACTTCGGAATGAGCAGAAACCTGTATAGTGGTGACTACTACCGGATCCAGGGCCGAGCAGTGCTCCCCATCCGCTGGATGTCGTGGGAGAGCATCCTACTGGTGAGTTCCTTACACTTGTAAGCCATACTCTAGCAGCTGACCTGTAGGCTGGCACAGGTGGCAGACAAAGATAAACAGGAGGTAGCAGGAGGCAAACTTTATAGACCCTGATGTTTTTTCTGGCTTGAGACAATCTTCTTTAAGGTATTAATTATTACAATTATTTAACACTTGCCCATTTCTGCTAAAAAATTGACACACTCCATTACAGAAACTTTAGGAAAAAACATTTAAAAATAGGATAAGGGATCTAGTATCATTTTTTTCTTTACCTTTCCACCTATTGAATGGTCTTAATTAAATTAGTTTATTAAAAACCTTATCATTTAAAGAACTATTAATCATAGAAAATATTTTTCTTCTCTATTGACTTCATAACATGTTTTTCATCAATTATTTAGATTAATCTCCATATTTTCAATGATTTTTACTATTTACTTTTAAATTCATCTTTTTTTTTTGCTTTATGATTTTTTACATAATTCTTGGTATTCTATGTCATGAATGAATAATTTTTTCCATACTGACATTTGGAAAAAATATTGTTGTTGTGCAGGGGGTACATTGTGACATTTACCAAAGTTCTTATAATATAACATAGTTGAATTTTCCCTCTCCATCATTCTTTATCCTCCACCCTCCCCCATTCCTGGAATAGTTTCAACATGTCTCATTTTTTCCATTTTCATACATTAATACATAATATTTCCACTAAATTCTTCCTCCTACACCCTTCCCTTATATCCTTTTCTCCCTCCCACTGGTACCAACCTCCAGACAGGACTGTTTTCTAACCATTTGAGACTTTTCATTATTGATTTTACAACCACTTAGCTGATGGATTAGTAGACTATAAGCTTTTACTTCCTGAAATGCTATGTACATGTATTTTTGTCTTCTGTCTTCTGCAATATTGCAGAGAAAGACCTGAGGCCAATTTGGTTTTGTTCATTTATAGTTAATCTGTTCATACTATCTTCCTGAACCTTATAGTAACTTTTCTAAATATCGTGGAAATTGTTACATTTTTACCTGTTTCTAATGTAACTGAGCATTTTTCTGTGTAAGGGTATTCTATAGTGTTAAAAATGATGTATTAGACAGAGATTCAGAGGACCTTGGTTCAAATCCTAGCTTTCCATTATTAGTGGTCTTATTTACCAAGGTAATTTAGTAAACCTCTCTTTTGTCTCATTTTTCTGATCTAAAAATTAATAACCTCTACTTATAGTTTTCTTTTTATTGAACAGAAAACGTGTAAGTATTACATGTATGCTACTTACATCTTAATCTCATTGCTGTCATTTGATAGTCTCTTTGTCAAAATTGTGATTATCGTTGAATGGGGAAGTAAGAGTGCTGGATTCACTCAGAAACTTACTCCAGGCTCTGAAACCAGATTCCTCTATCTCTAACATTAAAAACAGTTGACTTCCTGTTTTAATTTGACTTTCCCAGAGACATATTCCCAAAGCTATCCTAGAGCCTAAAAGTTGCCCTCCTGACAGTCAGTTGGAGAGTCAGATGGTTTATGACTGCTTTACTTTCAGCTCTTGGATCTTATCCCCAAGAGAAGCAGAGCTAAGCTAAGATCATGAAGACAAGGGAATGGCTTGCCTCTTGACACTTCCATGAATATTTTAGCAGTTTCAGCATTCCTTATCCTCCATAAGAAGAGGGGAAATAACTCCAGATTGTGAAAGTGTAAATCACTCTTGTTGTGCACAAGATATTCTGATTTGCTCCTCTTTTCTTTTCTTAAATAGGGAAAATTCACTACAGCAAGTGATGTGTGGGCCTTTGGGGTGACACTGTGGGAGACTTTCACTTTTTGCCAGGAGCAGCCATATTCCCAGCTATCAGATGAACAGGTTATTGAGAATACTGGAGAGTTCTTCCGAGACCAAGGGAGGCAGGTAAAGCCCAGCTTCTGTAATACGTGATATAGGCTGGTGTTGGTGTGGGGTAAGGTAGGGTATACAATTATGAATGTTGGATTCAGCAAAGGCAATGGATGGTTTCATGGTTCAAAGGGCATGGGAAGTTTGGGTACTGGTCAGGAATATGTCAATGTACTAAGGTATTGAAACACATAGGTAAGAAGATAACAGCAATATTTTATAGGCAGCAAATGAACTAAGAGTCAGCAGAGTAGCATCTTACTTGTAGAAATGGTAACTGGCAATTTCAGAGTAGAGTTCTAGGCTGGAATTCAGGGCAGGGTAAAAGCATGGATGGCAATGCATGCTGTAAAACAGAAATCTAATCTTTTCTTGATGGGGCCAACATAGGACAGAGGGTGTGTGTGTGTGTAAACATGAAGAAATTTATGGTTAGGAGCTATGTGGATACTTCCTATATCTGGCTGAGATTTTATTCCAATCAAGTTGCTGAAGCTACTAATGTATGTTCTATGTCTGCTGTGATTGGCTTAGCCAAGATAACCCTTCACATGGGTGGACCATAAATGGAAAATTAAAGCTCATATTTGCTTCCATCTCATCATTTACTTGAAGGTAGGTATCCTAGAAGGTCAATCAGAGAATTCTGCTCCAGAGAGATAAAGAGGACAAAAGGAATGAGAAATCAGCTGAAGTGAGCTAGAACTCTTGTGAGTAGAAAAAATAGACAACATGCTGATTTCAGTTAGTAAATTCAAGAAAGTGTGGCAGGGGCAAATCAAAATATAATACAACCAGTTCTCCTTTTCCTTCATTTTCTTAATATATTTTTCTCTCTCTTTTAAAATTTTTATTCCCAAAGACTTACCTCCCACAACCAGCCATTTGCCCTGACTCTGTGTATAAGCTGATGCTTAGCTGCTGGAGAAGAGAAACCAAGCACCGACCCTCATTCCAAGAAATCCACCTTTTGCTCCTTCAACAAGGGGATGAGTGATGCTGTCAATGCTGCAATTTTCTGACCACACAGGTCCTCCCCACAAGACCTACCACTCCCCATGCCAAAGCCACTCCATCTGGACATTTAATGGACCTGAGAGACAGAGGCTTGTTCACTTCACTCTCTTTCTGTCCCTTGCCTCCCCCACCTCATTCCCTCACTCCCTACCACTGACTCATATATACTTTTTTATATGAAAGAACTAAAAATTTTTAAAGTCTAGGGCAGATGATGTTTAGTAAAGGAAATCTTACTTGATATACCAAAGTGTTAGTTAACAAAGGCTAGAAAATTCACATAATTTATAAAAGTTATGCTTATGTTTATAAATGTGTAGTTTCTACAATATTTTTTTCAGTGTCACCTTTTATGAAATATCTTTAGAAGGATAAACTTGAAGAATACCAATGTCTTGGGAAACCTGAGATTAGGCTTAGGGTACCATGGTGAATCTGAGAACTCAGCATGCAGCAACTAATCACAGATGGTTTTCTGATTTGGCCTCTGGACATGCCCCACTCTCCAATTTCCTTCTCCTTTCAAAGTGGGTGATACATTTTTGAAAAACCTAGTTTTTTGGAGTGCGTATTTTCTTCTTTTATGGGCAAGGATCAAGGCTGAAGACCACGTATGAAACAATGGACGAAAGAATGCTTGCTGGAAGGAGAATTTTTCTTTTAAAGTACTTCCCTGCATGGAAATATTCTTGTATAGCTAGTGGTCATAGGGAAGTTGGTCTATGGAGGACAGGTAACAGGGAAGAGGGTCCTCTTCTTTGTCTTGTTCAGATGTTTTCATGACAGCCTGATATTTTAAATCAGTAAATCCTGGTGTTTTGATCTCTTGATGGTAGGATCTTTAGTTCATCTTGCCCAAATCTATTTCTTTTAATGGATGAAGTCTCTGTCCAACTTGTAGTCTCGGGGATGAATTTCTTGGACTTAAATACCTAAAGGCCATGGATAGCAGAGAGTAGATTTATTCTGAGTGTGCTCAAAAAGCTGACCTAGGAAGTTACAGAGAGACTGAATTTTAGTCCTTATTAGATTAAACATAGCCAGAGTACTAACATACAAAGAGGGCTGTCCCAGAGAGGGAAGAGGGGATCCTTTGTCACTGAAAAGCTTCAGGCATAAACTAAGAATTATGCAAAAAAGATAGAGGTTTTCAAATATCAGGCAGGTGACCTTATGAGACATTTAACATCATTTTTACCCCAAGAGTTTTTGATTACAGAGGCACAGGCTGACTATTCACTGCTACTGCTTATTGTACATGCTATTGCCAATGAGGTGATATGACCAGCAGAAAAGTATGAGGCTCTGGTCTCAGAATTCATGGAAACTGATAGGATTCTCTTTAGAGCAGATTCTGAGTTTTCATACTCCACAAATCTGTGGGAAACTGGAAAAGGGAAATCTTAATCCCTATTGAGAAAAAAATAAGAAAAGATTACAGAATAAGATTCCCAAATTGAGAAGAAATGGTCTTGACCCCTCAGGGCTGCTTCTGTTGCCTCCCCAGTCCATCTTCTCCAGTTTCTTAGGAATTTGAGTGCATCCCTATTCAGCTTTCAGCACACCTCCAGATTATAGCACAAGCATAAATCTAAGCCCTCAAGATTAATTTTAGGTCATTTTCTGACCCTAGCAAATGGCTTTATCTATGGTTTTCCTATGTTTTGGGGATTTATTCTCTCTTAACACTAACTTTGGAGAGATCACTGATTTAAGAGGTAGGAGAACATTGGTTTGGAAACTTTGACCCTTTTTCTGCCTTAAACCAAGTGTGTCCTCTTGTGCAAATCACTTTGTATGAATTTTGTTTCTTTATCTGTAAAATAAGAAAATTAAATTAGATAGTCTCTCCTGGTGCTGATATGGTTAGTAGTTTCTGAATAAGTGGATCTATAACTAACATGGATTCAGTAAATGTCCTGGTTCAAATATTGTGGTCCCTAAAAGAGACTATGGGACAAGTCACTGTAATAGTAGTTATAGTGACACTGCATTTCTATACAGCTTTAAGCTTACCAGGTGTTTCCACACACTCTAATTTGATATGTGCAAGGCCAGACATGTTTTCTTATGAGAATTGCCACACTCTGATTTCATGATAAGTGTTAGCACCCTTTAGCATTAAAAGGATTTGAAATCCAGATCTGCCACTTGTTTTCTTCTAGATTCCTTATGTAGCAAGAGAAAATACCATTTCCCCTTCTATTGCCTCACATTTTTCTGCTTATTATTTCTTAGGATTCTACCCTAATTCACTGATCCCATATTTAAAAATCATGTATAGAATGAAAGTTGAATGTCTGGATTTCCTTGACTTTGAATCATAGAAGTAATCTGTTTCAGCTGGCTGCCAAATATGTATTATCATGTACAGGTATCTTTTTTCTGGATGAAGAGGGGGGATCCATCTTCTGGCACTGAAACCATGGTGCTATAGACATGGGTTTAACTTTTAATCTAGGCACATCTGTAGAGTTTAGCAGCACAAATCTGAGTGGCTGAACAGAGTAGATGGTAAAGGCTTAGTATGTAGAGTTAAAAGGTAGCACAAATCTTTATTAGTGCAGTGAACTAGGATTTATTTGGAAAAGGAGATATGAAAAGTGATGAGAATTTATTGACCTTTTTATCTTTGTAGTAAGTGATCTTCTTTATGATGCATGGGAACTATTTTATGTCAAGATTGTATTTTAAGAATATCAGATCCAAATTTCTACCTTTGTTGGTTAATTTTTTGATAGATAGCTCCAATCTTTTTTTTTTTTTTTGTGATGCTGGGGATTAAACTCAGAGCCTCACACATGTGAGAAAAGAGCTCTACTATTGAGCTACAGTGTCAGCCCCTGGAAAATCTTGACCTACTGTCCAGACACATATGTAATTAGGACACACATGTGATCTAGAGTGGAAACAAGTGCCTTGGGGGAGCATGCATTTTTAAAGCTGTGAAACACGTGACTGTTCAAGACTGTATAACAAAGATGGTTGTATGTAAGTGAAGTTTAAAAAAAAGTGGATACATGGATGTGCATATGACAGGAAGGGGGAATGGGAAGGGCTAGAAAGAAGACTTCATAAAGAGAGGCAATGAGAGTGCACAGGAAGGAGACACAGGGAGGGGCAGGTCAAATAAGGTGGAAATGTGGCTAGGTGGACGTGATGGAATCCTCTTTGAAGCATGAAAGCAAATCTCTGAAAAGAGATCTGAGAGGATAGAAAACATAAGTGATTTGAAGATAAAAGAAAAGTATGGATGGTGAAAAAGAAATTCTGGGTGGTAGTGATTATAAAAATATTCATTAAAAATGAAGTCAGGTGCACTGTAGGAAATAAGAGGGTTTTTTTTTTCTAGAGTTTTAAGAAAGGGATGTCCTCCATGGATATAAAAATGCATAAACATCAGGGAAAGGCCTTTTTATTTCAGAAGAAGAGGGTGAGGGAGGAAGTTTGAGGCCCTTTGTGTTCTATACTACTTCAAGTGTTGGTAATAAGAAGCCAGTGTTTTGCCTGGACTGGACGTGGACATGAAGACCTAAAGATGAGAGTTTATGGTAGTTTATGAGCCATTGTGTTCCCTTCCCTTGCCTTTGTTAATGAAATCCATTTTCAGTATTGCCATCATTGCTGAACGCAGAATAGCTACAGGCAAACATAGAAACAGTAGACATAAGATAGACAAGACAAGATCTTGTCTGATATCTGCACACAGAGATGTGCCATGTTGGAAACATGTGTTTTTCTAGTCCCATCCAGGCATCCCACAAAAAAGTCATGATGTGGGGCTAGCCATGTGTTTTGAGTAAAGGAGAACAGAAGGAGGGGAGTGTCTGAATGAGGGAAAGGAAGGAATATGTTCCAATGAAATATACTAAAACAGAACAACATCTGCTTTGCCCAAAACTACAAAAATGAAGAGAATTACAATATATGGCGATTAAGACTTTGATCCTGAGTTGAATTCATAGACCTGGAATTTGCCATCTTAATCTTTCCTTTTCCATGAGACTTCTATGTCCTCTAGCAGTGCATGTGGTAGGTCTCTGATGTTTCTGGAAGTTGCAGATTCTGATCTGGGGAATCCTTTTGAACTAAAATTTTATATTCTTATAGAAACAGATGAATGTCTTTGCCATTTGGTAAATTATTTGGAGTGCTGAATTAAAAGGGAAAGAGACTGGGTAGTTAATGATTTGATTTGTGGCATTTTGAGTTTTCTGCTCCAATTAGCTATATAACTTGGTGGCAGAAAACTGGTAATTGTTTAGTTGCTATATCCTTTTTGAAAACTTGTTATTTTGAAATAAATTTAAACTCATAAGAAGTTTAAAAAATAGAACAGAGTGGCCTTACACTAGATCTAGTTTTCCCCCTCTGTAACATTTTACATAGTCAATTTTCAACCATGGAAATCATAGTCCATTTTGAACCATTTTCAAAACCAGAAAACCGATGTTGGTCTAATAAATTTCAGACTATATTTGGATTTCACCAACTTTTCCACATGTACTCATTTAATTGTGGATATTTTTAACTCTTGCTGATTTGTAACCTGGCCTTGCTTAGATGCAACAAGAAAGACACTATCTGGATATGATTCCACAAATTTTGAGAGAAAACAATTTAACTTGTTCAGTTATCAATAAGAAATATCCTGCCTGTGCTTCTAATTTGTATGATTAGTTTGTATGTTTAGCACCTGAAACAATCCAAGAGCAACTTAGAAGGATTAGACAATGTAAAAGAAAATGAAATCTGTCCATAGATTTGTTGTGTAGAGAACCATGTACAGAAGAAAATTCTAGATGGTTCCTGCAGCTGAACAGAATTTTCATCAGTGACAAGGAGAGAGTTTTAGAGTAAACCAGTATTTTGGTCAAGAATTAGGTAGTAGCTATTTAATGGCACCAGGGATAGCTTATTAAAGGAATGTAATACAATGGTATAAACCCTTAATGTGTGATAAAACACTATATTTAGAGTAGCAGAAAAGTTTTATTTGATTAAATATTTATTCTTCTATTCTTAATTAGAGTAACAGCCACATTGCACCAAAGTAAATGCAAATATAGCAGCAACCTGAGGAGAAGTTGAAACTCTGGTTTTGTCTTTGATTATGTCTTTGAATTTCATTGATCACCATTTTTAAACTGCCCTATTTAAAGGGCACAAGATAATAGCAGTGTGTGTCTTGTGAAGTTTCTAGCACATAAGTGAACACCTGATAAATACTTTCTGAAGTTTTTGGTGAATAAAATGTGGAAACAACACTTGTCATCTATCATAAATAGGGTGGATTTGGGGAGCTGTGCTTTGCTGTTAACAGAGGGTTTATTTTCTAATATGAAAAGGAAAAAGTACCCATACATATACCAAGTACAGTAATCCTCCATTTATATACTTTGTAAAGGTGAAATTGATCTGTGGAAATTCTTCATTGTTTGGGGTATTAGACAGCAATGCAATGTAGTTCTTAATGGGGAAGTAGATCAAAAGCAAAGACCAGAGTTTGACTCTAAATCCAGCCCATTTGAAAGAAGCTATTTACATTCTCCTGTAGACATCTTGTTAACAACTTTATAGGACTCTTCTGGAAAAGGGGCCTGAGTCCCAAGCTAGTGTGTGCTCATCCACAATCACAACTGCATGCCAAGGAAGAATTTGCAAAAAGATGTAAGGAAAAGCACAATGGTTTAAGGTGATTACTTTCAGTGCAACTGTTTTCTAAAGTAGAGGCTTGAAAATAATTAAAAGTTGGAAGCATTCTTGCAAACACATCGTGAGTTTGTAATGTAGCCTATCCTCTTTTGATAGTTCTTTATTATTCACGATATCCTATTTTTCTCCATGATGTCTAGTAACTTTTTCTGAGGATGTAGTTTTTGCAGCAAACTCTTCTATGCTGAGGAAACATCTGGAATTTATTCTGCAGGCTGTGGAGGATAATGTATCTTGTCAAGGGTAAATGACAAGTGGATTTAATTTCTGCTTAAAACTATCATAGTCATTCCAAAATAGAATACATAAAAATTATCTGTATTAGAAAAAGAATTGTGATACCAATTGTATATTTTCTTTTCTTTATTTATTCTCTGTAAGTCTGTTGGATGATAAATTGTAAATAACAATGATTAAAGAATCATGCTACTGATGGATCCTTCTTTCTGTGTACATAGCTTTGTTACCCTTACTCCTTAAATCATTTTTGGAGAAGTGATGGGACATGGGGGCAGAATTGAGAGTGTTTGTTGTGTGGGTGCCTGTTTGTTGGGGCTAATCTACAGAGGGTTATTTAAATAGGTTTCTAATATGCAGTTGACTGTTTATTGGAAGAAATACATCTTGGCCTCTGACAAACCCAAATATGGTAGCAACTGTGATTTTTTGACCTCACACTTATTGGTCCCATTCTGAGGAATACAGTTCAGTTGATTAAGGATACTTTGTTATTGCTCCAGAGTTCTCTTGTTTGATATATAGAAGTCCCTGCTAAATCCAAATGTTGTGTGTCTTAGACTGCCCAAACATCCACAAACCATGTATAATGATATATAACAAAATCTGTATCTAACCATATATAACAAAAACTATATATAATCAAAATACAGTTCAGTCCTCACGATAGAGATTAGAATGAAATTACTCCAAAACATATCTTTTTTTACCTAAAGAATAAGTTTATATTTTTAGCTTTCTGAGTAACATGAGCATATTTCTTTCAGCAATGGTCATGATAGATAAAAATCTAAGAATGACCAGAGGACACAACTGTACTCTCTGACTGTACAATGTCTTGTTTGATTCTAGGACTAAAGGCCAGGAATTCAAGTAGCTGTGTGGTGGGACTGGTGTGCGGGCAAAGGAGCAAAACAGAAACAAGGACAGCAGAGATGAACAGTTCTATTGTCAACACTTACTACCAAGGCTTAAAGATAGATATGAGTGATACACACACACACACACACACACACAGAGGAGAGAGAGAGAGAGAGAGAGGCTCTGAATATATACATTGTCCATGAGCAAGCTGACCTCCGTTTATCATTTGATATTGATCTCATATTTGCAAAAGAAGTGAGCATACTTACACTTGTAAATCCTCTCACATGGTCCTTGAGTCCTACATAAGACTCATTTCTTATGCATAGGCCACCTTTTACCATCAACACTGAATAAAGTCCTACTCCTGGAGTAGTTTTGGGTCAGGATGAATGATTTCAAGGGAAAGGGGATGAAAGATACGAACATGAGAAGCTACATGATTCCATTGACAGCTGTTCTTTTACTCTTGTTTGTAAAGCAGAGGCAGGTTTGTTTATAAGGACCAAGAATAGAGCTCTATCTTGGTAGCAACAAATAGCTTACTTATCCTTGTCTTATCTAAGAACTGTTTGAGGCACCATAAGAGGAAAAGGTCAGTTTCAGGTCTTAAGGTAGAGAAATTTAATGTATGTAGTGTAAATAGTCAATGATGAAGTTGGTACATGTACTATTCAAATCATGAAGCCAAGATTTGTCAGTATATATGGAAGCATTGTGTACACTGTTCTTCTGGTTTCCAGGATAACAGAATGTACCTCTAAACAACACAAAACTACGATGAATAGTTTGGGATGGCAAAAAACAAAACCCCAAACCAAAAACTATTCACTCACCTATGAATAAAAATAATTGCTACTGAGCTGTGCCCATGTAATAAAATATTTTTAAAATACAAAATTAAACTACATGTAATAAAATATTTTTAAAATACAAAATTAAATGGTATCTGTTGAAAGCAGAGTCCTACTGGAGAAATTCAGCCATCTTTCAAAGGTCATAGTACCTTGGGAGTAGCAACTTCAGTGGAAAAAAAGAAGAAAAGACCAACGTTTCCTCACTTGGTTAGTGTGGATGGTATTCATGGTGGTGGAGAACGTGCTGACCTTGCTCTGAAGTTTTTTGGTCCTCTCTTGATTCACAATTGGTCCTACACTGTCGTCCCAATATTACAGTAATGTGAGCTTCTGGAGTTTAGGTTTTATAGAAATGAGTTTTCTTTGAAACAGTCATACAATTTCCACTCCTCTTTTATTCCTTTCACATGTCACCTCTGAGCTCCAGGACATTTTATTTTTAGGTGGTACTGGGGTTTGAACTCACACACCTCTAGCCCCATCCAGGATATTTTAAAAAGGAACTTTTAGATTTAGAATTTCAAGGGAGGGGCTAATTTTGCTCCAGGACTTTTAGAAAATGTTTTTAAATTGTGGTTTCTTAAGAATAGTTCAATTGATAATGAAGTTTTATTTAGGAATTTAATGTTCAAATAACCAATATGTATGTTCTTTCAATATAATTTTATTGGCAAAATTATTAAGCAAGCTGGTATCAGTCAAAATCTCTAGGATCAGAAACCAACATGGATTATTTTAGTCATTTAGGGATCATTGCTATTCGTAAGTAATTAAACCTTTGAAAGTAGATTACGTATGTTCAGTAGAGTTGCTGTAAGTGCACTTTTACTGAATGCTAACCAGGACTGTTACCAGTCTACAGAGAAACCTAGAGTGAGCATTGTCTGTAGCTAGTTTGCAGAGAGCTTTTATACGAGCTGCATCTAAAATTCTGGCTTGTAATAGGTACACATTTTGCCATTTTGCTTTTTAATTTTCCTAGGAATTTTTTATTTTCCAAAAGTACACCTGAGATGGCTTGGAGACAAAAAACAGGCCCTTTGCCATGAGAGGCCCTGATGCAGGTTGCATTTTCGGTACTTCACAGAAGTTAGGTCTGAGAGTCTCTGATTCCATCCCACATTCCAAGCCTTTAGGATTGGTAATTCACACATAGTTCAAATAAAATTCTTAATAAGAATCAATGTCCATTTTCCCAAATAGGTTTCTTTGGAGAAGGAGGAAGGAAGTCTGGGATCAGAAGCTGGGTCTACAATACCCAAAAAGAAGTGAAAAACGAAGCAGACAATCCCTGAACTTTAGCTCCTAGACCCTCCCCTCCCTCTAAGTAAATTCTGGTGCAAACGCTCTAATGCCAATCAGAGGCTCCAGGACACACCCTCCGTCCACGCCACACAAGTCCGCGGACACCAGCGCCGGTGCCCACACGTCGCCACCATGACAAAGACCAGGGTCCAGCGGAACCGGTCCCGTCAGGGGCGGTGCCTGCCTCGCGGTGGGGGGCGGGGCGGGACTGCTTGGATTGGTTTGCGCCTCTGCGTCACGCGGCTCCTCCCCTCGGCCTATCTCACCCCATCCTTCCCCGGCGCGGCGAGAGGACGGCGGACTGCGATTGGCAGGCCCTGCGCGGAGTTGATGACGCAAGGAGAGGCGGGGCCTTCCGGGCCCTGATTGGTGGGAATGCGTGTGGGCGTGGCGGGGGGGGACACTTTGGGCTTGCAACAGCTGAGGTGAGGGCCTGTTTTGCTGCTCTGCCAGGAGTTGCTGGAAGATGCGGAAGGTGGTTATGGTCACGGGCGCGAGCAGGTGAGGCCTCCCTTGGGACTGCGGAGGCTGCGTTCAGAGGTCCAAAGGAGCAGCTGTCTGCGACTCCTGCAGCGCCCGTCCTTAATCTTGCCTCGCCTCAGTAGGGATTCGGGCCGAGACCCTGCCCCGCTATTTCCTAGGTCTCTCACAAGGTGTGGGGCAATGCCGACCCTTTGAGGTGCTCGGTAACCGGCGCTTTAAATTAAACATGAACGTGGAAAGGAAAACTAGAGCGCCAGTTAGCCGATCAGCCTTGCAGTGACGAGACCGTGGTTATTAAGGGAAACGGGTACTTTCCACATGGACCCAGCCCCCTACTTTTAGCATTTACTGTTAATACTTGAAGTTTACTTTAGCACTGGTCACGTGACCATTTGTGAGCATTAGGGCAGTGGGGAGGAAAATCTTATTCCATCCAGCACTGTGCTAGACCCCTTAACGTATACTCAACGGGAGCACATGGAGTAGTGATCTTTTCCTGTTCAGGTATAGCTAGGTGCCCAGTAACTAAGTTTGGCAGTGTCTGTCATAGGCAGGTTTTTTTGTGTCCTTTCCTTTGGGGCAACTGGTAACGTTTCCAGTGCATAAGTTGGGATTGATTTTGTTTCTTTGACATATGGTATGTACAATTGTGTATTTATATTGAAGGCCTGCTATTCGCAAGTGAGGTTGAATACACAGATTCTTGATGGTTTATTGGCAGGGCAAACAGATTCCTACTGGAACTAGTCTCTTCTTGGGGTTCTGACTGTTTGCCTGCATTCGGCTAAAGTCTTGAAAGAGAACTTCCTAATCAGGTTTTCATTGCTATCAGTCCAACAGATCTGATTGCTGCCTCCATCTACTGGGCACTTTTATAGTGCTCTTTTAAGAAATATTTTATTTAAAGTCTTTGAGAAGTGTATGAATCCTGGCTTCTCATTCTTGAACCAACCCAATATTTATTCTTACCTTCTGCTTAATTATCCTGAGTTCTTTCTCTTTTTATTGGGTATTCGGTCATAGAAGTTGAGGAGGACTCAACCATGTTTCCAATGTCTCTTCTTGATAAACTCTCCATTCCTTTATCAAGGATTTCTGGTGCGCTTTACAGAGGTGATGATACCTATAGGTGGTAGAGTGCATGTCCTGCAGGAACCTAGACAGCAAAAACATGCACGCAAGAAACAACTAATAAGATGGTGTTTTTTGCCGGCTGCTGGTGTCTCATGCCTGTAATCCCAGTTACTTGGGAGGCTGAGATTGGGAGAATCATGGTTCAAGGCCAGCCCAGGCAAATAGTTTGCAACATCCATCTCCAAAATAACCAGAGCAAAGTGGACTGGAGGTGTGGCTCACTCGAGTGTTAGAGCACTTGTGCTGATGTATTGACTCACTTTTATGAACAGCATAGTAGGTACAAAATAAAACCAGTTATTGTGTCATTAAACTTTTGTGGAATGGGAGAAACAAACCAGATATCACCCTGATCCAGTGACTATTAGAGTAGGTGATTGCTCCTTTCTTTAAATAATGTTTGAATATTTTCTGTCTGCCTGGGCTTCTCATTGGAACTCACATTAACACAGTTTTCTGATTCAGAGAAAAATGCCTTTATTTGGAAGACCTCAGTTAACATATGTCCTGTACGTTAATTGTCTTCCCAGTGGCATTGGCCTAGCTCTTTGCAAGCGGCTGCTGGCGGAAGATGATGAGCTGCACCTGTGTTTAGCATGCAGGAACGTGGGCAAAGCAGAGGCTGTCTGTGGTGCTCTTCTGGCCTCTTACCCCATGGCTGAGGTCAGCACTGTGCAGGTGGATGTCAGCAACCTGCAGTCAGTGTTCCGGGCTGCCAAAGAACTTAAGCAAAGGTATGTCTTGTTGATGGATCTTTTTCTCATTTGATTATATACTATAATATCTAATAAGATAAGAAAGGATAAGAAGTTGCTCTATAAGAAGTTATGCTGAGGAGATCTGTATATTGACCCAGTGTGTCACAGTACCACATTTTCATTCTCAGTCATGTTCATTATTATTTTTTGAAGATTAACTTATGAATTAGCTATATGGTCAGTTGTGATGGTTTAAAGTACTATAACTCCTTCAATATTTGAATTCCTTTTGACATATTTTCTCCTGTACTGACATTTAACAAGTGAAGAAACTGACACAGAAATAGGAGTAATATGCCCAATAGGATCATTTGACATTATTCTGATTGGCTTGGTCCTAGAAGTAAGTTATTTTCCCTGTTTCCTTAGAAATATTGTTTCCCAGGCCAATAAAGATTTCTTCACAACTGCACAGTAACTGACAGGTAATAGGTGTTTGATAAACATTTGGCATATGAAGGAATAGAGTCCTTGGATGTATGGCTTCCCTAGAAATGTACAAAATTTGCATATAGGTACACAGTACATTTTTCTGGGTAGAGAGGGCATTTTTTTTTTTTAAATTCTAAGAGGAATTCATAATCAAAAAGGTCTTAAACCCTGTACTAGCTAATCAATGCTGAGCCCTATGGCTGTCCCAAATAATTTATTTGTAAACATTTTTTTAATTGGGGACCTTAAGAAACAAGGAATTACTTTATTTCCCTGCACAGTAAAATGAAATGCGATAGGAACAGGAAGGGCTTCTTGGTAAAGCCATTTGCTGAAGAATAATTCTTTGAATTTTATTTCCATGAATTGATAGTTAATTTGCATTTCTCTGTTCCAAATGCACAAGTTACAAAGCAAAAGCAAAAACTGTTTTTTTGGTTTTTTTTTAACTCCAGTTTTTCTCATTGTGTCTCTCTGTCCTCTGTTGCTGAGCTCCTAATTTTCTTCTACATCATTTTTTAAATATACAAGGAGAATTTATAGGTTCTGTCTTCAAATACATTGTGATATGTTCTACAGTACCCACTCCTCCATACTTAGAGTCTCCAAGCCTCTGAAACTGCACATAAAGTGTTGGTAATGCCATAGAGTTAAGGACATAGACTCAGGAGAGAAGTTTGTAGGCATTCTTTTCCCAGATCTTCCTAGCCAGCTGGCTAACTTACCCGTTTTGTATAGATTTATTTTTCCTTTTTTTTGGCAGAAAAGAACCTCATCCTCAGTTAATAATAGCCCACTTCAAAAAACAGTTCACTTTTGAGACGTGACGTTTTAAACCTTTATAGTATTGATTACTCTCAGTTGCCTCTTCAGATGCAAGATATTTGATAATTTATCTCAAATTTACTAATGTTATATTTAGTGAGATACTTAGTAATTTAGCACAAATTTAAGGCGGTGAGGTTTTGGGGCAGAAGGGAGCACCGAAGGTAAAAAATGAATTATCCTAGAAGTCTGTTGTCAGCAGTTTGTATACTTAGTGACCTCAATGGGTATCATTACTTCTGGACCTGAAGTAACTTAGAACCAAGTGAGCTGGAGGAGCCCTTCCAGTTGGCAAATGGCATCATCCCTGACATCTGATTTTAACATCTGTAGTACTCTGTTCTATTAGATAATGTGCAGTTGAAAACTCTTACTGAATAATGAATCTGTTTCATTCAGAGTAGAGTAACTATATCAGTCATTTCATCTTTGAGTGTAGTAAGTCTGTTCTACTGAAGCCAGATCCTAATTTGGTGTTCTGGTGCAATTTTCATTCTTTGTTAAGTATTTCTTCTTCATTCCTAGCAAAATATTTTACTATTCTTAGGTGGAAGTTTGTGAATTAGATAATAGCACAGCCAACAATAGATGGAACCATTGTCTTTGTGGCACTTACCTGATGAAACAATGGCAACAGTGTCATCATTTTAAAGTCAGCTTAATAATTAGACCCATTTGGCTATTAATTATTTGTAGGATGATCAAGAGATGCTTGTGTGTGATCTGTGTTGGCAACCATGTATGTATTTCAAAGCCCAGCTTTAGCAGCTGTGTCCTTGTCCTGGGTTACACAGAGGACACAGTGTGGTGCTTAGAATTCTAGGAGACATCCTGAGCATGCGTGGTGCCTGTGAATTTCATGGAGGAGGCTCTACCTGTCCTGAGCCTACTTCAAATGGTACATGTAGATTAAGGCTTATATAGATTTAAAAATGAAAATCTTCTCAAATCAAAATTTCACGGTTCCCTCTACCACAAGCATATTGGAGAGAGCCTACCAAGAATACCTTATTCCCATTCAATTTACAATCTCTTTGTATTACAGTGAACTTTCATCATTTTATGACACATAGTCCCTGTCCTTGAACACTGAATGGTTTCCCACATGGGTCTTCTGTTAGATATCTTGGCATCCAGATTCCAGAATTGATAGATCAAGTCTGGTACACATTATGTAAATTATGTTAACTGTGGAAGATGTGAACTGAAAAAACAAAACAACAAAAACAAGAAACGAAAAAACTTTGTAAGACCAGAAAGAGAATGATGATTATTGATGATTGCTGCAGTGTCTAATTAGTAGCACAAAGGTAGAAGAATTTGCTTATAAAGAAGCTTTGACTTCAAAACTCATTGAAACCACTGTGAAAATAAAGATAATCAAATACTTAATGCGAATGAAGAAATACTGTTGAGAAATAAATATTGTAACCATGATGTTATTTTGTGTGCAATGACCATCTTAATTGTCTCAGAAAGTATTTTCTGTCTTCAGGCCTTCTGTATTCTAGAGACAGAATACATAATCTTATCTTGGTTATTCTAACATTCTTCCCTTGGTGCTTTACTTGTAGGTTTCAAAGATTAGACTATGTATATCTAAATGCTGGGATCATGCCTAATCCACAGCTAAATGTCAAAGCACTTTTCTCTGGCCTCTTTTCAAGGTAACTACCATTTTCTGGATGAATTGTTTAGAAGGAATGTGTTCATTTTGCTGCCTAGATTTTTGCCTTTGGTGTGTTAAGTTGGGGGATGGAAAGTAAGGGGATGTTGAGAAGGATAAAGACAGAAAGGAGGTGTTGCAACCATGTTATGAAAGGAAAGCGTGCATTCATCGTTTGTGAGGAACACTGCAAATCATGGCTCTTACCATGATCTAGGTCTCCAGGACATTCCAAGTACTCAAATGTTTCAGGGTGTCAGTTTTTGATTGCTTGAATATGCCTGTTAGCAAGAACATTTCTAAATTAGTCAGGGTTCTCTGAGAGAATCCAAGCCCACGAAGGCTGCTTTGGAAGCAGCACCTACTTGTTAGGTGCTCTGACCAGGAGGTTGAGGAAGTGCAGAGAACTAATGTCTACCTGAGAGAGTCTTAACGCATAATAATGTAGTGGCTTTCAAAAATGTTCATGCACAAAGCAGAGTAAAAAGTAAGCCTTATTTTGCAGTAATATACTTACTCATAAATAGATGTTTTTATTGCCTGGCTCTTACTGCATTGTTACTTTTGCTTTACTTTTCTTCCATTAAAACATACGCAATACCTACCAAATTGATCTCACAGCAAAACACTGTATTAGTATATTTGATGCTCTAAGAATTCCTAGTGAGAAAAGAACCTGCTTTACTTTTCAGCAATTGAACATACTTGGTGCAGATGACAACTTTTTCCCATTGACACAGCTACTATTCTATTCCTTCAGGATAGAGTTTACTCATAACCTCATTTAGAAAGAGGTGAAGAGAGTGTTGTGACAGGGTTTTGAGAGATTCAGATTCCTTCGTAGTGTGAACAGTGAGTTATATGAGTACATCTGTGAATTGGGGAAAAAGAAGTATTTTATATCTCATTTAATACTACAAAAACCCAGTCTGAGAAATTGGTGTTTTTTTATTCCTGTCATTATAGAATTAAGGAAGGTGTAGTTTGTGTGTGTGGGTGGGTGGATGGATTGAAAGCATTTTCAGTTAAAGAAGCTTTAAAAAGTCATACCACTGTCTTCTGCTGTTTCAGAAATGTGATTCATATGTTCTCCACAGCTGAAGGACTGTTGACACAACATGACAAGGTCACTGCGGATGGGCTCCAAGAGGTGTTTGAAACCAATGTCTTTGGCCACTTTATCCTGGTAAAAATACTTTGGGTTTACTAAGCCTATGTTTAGTTCTGTATGGATACATTATAGTACTGTTTTGTTAAGTTCATTAGTTCATGGTTAGCATTAAATCAATGACTATTTCAGTATAGTAATCACTGACTCCTTTGAAAACTTTGCTTCCATATATTATATATATATATTTTTTTACATCAGCTCTAGAGAATGGAGAGAGAAAATATAGAAACAAACATGTGATAACCTTCAGAAACAACATATAAAACTGAGAAAAAGTTCCCCATTAGTCTTTGAAATTGGGTTTGGTATCAGATAAACATGGGGTAGTAGGCAAGCCATTATTGATCAGTGATACCTATGCAATTTTTCATTATCCTGATTTCTGACTTCTTAAGCATCCATACTTGGCTGTTATAACTCCAGGTATCCATATGATGTTAAACATGAGGCATGTAACTTATCTAGTATGTTGTGTGCTCTTGCCTCAGGCTCATCCTCATAGGACAACTTTAATATCCAGAGTAAGTAATGCCCTGCTATTGGGCATTTATAATTCCTTAGTACTGAAAGAACCCCTGCTGATGCTGGGTTTGCCTGCACCTAACTTATATCTAATAATTGTTTGTATTTACAACCACTTTTCTTTATTTTGGGCCTGATTTCTCTTAAAATTAGGCTTTTTGAGGTTTAGCCTATATTTATAGTAAATTATGATAGAGAACATCAGAATATTATGAAATGATGAAAAGAAATGAGATGAATATTTTGTACATATGGGCTGGCTTCTGGTATTTAATTATAAGAAGAATATATATAAATATTTTATATATAAAAATATTTAAGAATGATAAAAATGAAACTGAGAACACTGATTCCCTTTGAATTGGGGTATCACGGTATCCGATGAGTGGCAGACAAATATTTTATTTTGTATTGTTAATACTATTTATTTTTAATGATATGTAGTATTACATTTTCAATGACAAAAATTCATTAAAATATAAAGTTAGAATAGGATTGAGTTCTTCTGAAATCTGTTTTTATAACTTTATAAGATCTATTATTTAATATTTCCTCTGTCTTATAATCTGTTTCTTCTCCTTTTGAATTATTAAATTAATTGGTAAAGATAGGGGATTAATTCATTAATACTATAAGTAGTCTGTTATTTTTTGATGAATTAACTGTTTGCAAAGTTAATGTGTTATGAAGATCAAACATTTGGGTAATCTGTTTGGGTTGGGGAAGAACAGAGGAGAGTTGAGCCATAAGGCAATTACTACAAGTGTCTAGGTATCTCTTTATGTAGGTAAGCACATCAGCAGGGGTTTAGAGCCCATTTGTCAAAAAAAGGATACCTTTCACCCTCTTTAGGGTTTCATTATTTTACCACTTTCTATGGAACACAAAGTTGGACTCAAGTTTAGGTATAAATGCATTATATAAATAGATCCATCCCTAATTTTACTGATACATAAAATGACCAAACTTTAAGATTATTATTATAATGAGTAAAGATAATGTCTATGAAACTCCAGATACAATGCAGTATTATAGTTAAGGAGCCAGTTAGTTTTACATTTATGAGTTTTCTTTGATTTTATTTGCTATTTCCTGTATATCCTATATCCAGTTTCTTCTATTATTAACATTTTGTCTTAGAATGGTATATTTGTCATAATAAATGATATGGTACTGATACATTATTATTAACTAAACTCCATACTTTATTCAGTTGCTTAGCTTTTGCCTAATGTCTAGGATCCTATTTAGTAGTCAAGTCTTAGGCACTCAGTCCTTAGGTACTTCTTGGTTTTGACAGTTTTACAGACTTCCCTTGCTTTTAATGCCATTTACAGTTTTTAGAAATATTACTCAGGTGTGTTGTAGACTGCCCCTCAGATGAGGTCTGTCTGATGCTTAGACTCATGACTAGACTGTTTTTGGGAAGAATACTGTAGAAGTAAAGTACCATTCTCATCACATTATATCAAGAGTATACACAGTCAGCTTGATTTATCAGTGTTGATGCTAACCTTGATCACATGGCTTCAGGTAGCATTTTTCAGATTTCTCCATTGTAAAGTTACTTTCTTTCTCCATTTCTGTACTGTACTCTTTGTAAGGAAGTTACTGTGTATAGCCCACACTTATGGGATTGTACTCTACTACCCTAAGGGTGGATCATCTACAGAAATTTCTTGGGATTTTTCTGCAAAGGAGATTTGTCCCTTTCATCTTTTTTATGTCTTTATCCAATCACTTTTTATATTCATATGGAAATATACATTTTCTATTTTGAAATTATAGATAGTACTTTACATAGTTCTTTCATTTGGCTCCTCTGTCTCTTGGACTTTCCCCATCATTATAGTTATCTGGTTTTGCTTTAGCTTTGGTTTTGAGCAATTTTTTCCTTTTAGGTACTATAAGATGCTTTAGACTCATTTTGTATGTTTCCTACCTTGGTCCTAGAATCAACATTGTCCTAGAATCAGTTTCTCTAAGGAGATTTGGTTACTTTTATTGAAGAATTTTTGTTAGAAACCAAGATGTTGATATTTGTTGCTACTGAGATGTCAATTGTTTATAGACCCTCTCAGCTAATAGACCAAGGAGATAAATATATGCATACTAATTCATGGATGTGTACATATCTATAAATATTTTATATGGAACTAATCCATATTTCTGTTAGGCTGGGCATGGGTTAATACTGATGTCTCTAACCCTAATGCATTACTGCATGGATCATTCCCCCATCTTCTTGCAACAATGACAAACCTGGCTTCAACATCTTCCATCCATTCGCTTAATTGTTCAGTTCCACTATATATCTGTAGTAGTTTAAAAATTGCCCCTCAGTAGATTTTTTTTTGTTCTTATTTATTTTTCAGATTCGGGAACTGGAACCTCTCCTCTGTCACAGTGACAATCCGTCTCAGCTTATTTGGACATCATCTCGCAATGCAAGGAAATCTAATTTCAGTCTTGAAGACATCCAGCACAGCAAAGGCCAAGAACCCTACAGCTCCTCCAAATATGCCACTGATCTTCTGAATGTGGCTTTGAACAGGAACTTCAATCAACAGGTAAGGCTTGTCTCAGTGATATGTAAGTGGCAGGGTAGTACCTTTTTAACTACAACTGATTTCCTAGAACATGGCTAGTGTCCCACTAGTTTAGATTAAGAGTTGGTGTACATGAAAGCTTTAGAGCAGAGATAATTAGCTCCTAACCTTTTAGGTCTATGTGATTCTATAGGAACTCTGATCTATGCTAAGAAAATGGAACCACTGACCATAACAAAAGCCACTGTTTAAGTACTTATAGTTTCAGGTGCTGTATTTTCCATCTGTGTATGTCATTTAATAACATTGCCATTATAGCTAGGTGGGTTTAAGTATTCTCATTTTCAGATGAGAACACTAAAGCTGGAAGAAGTTGAATCATGTAATCAAAGATCACATGACTCATGAATGGTGGAGCTAAGAGTTGAGCCCAAGGCAGTTTGACTTTATAGCTTGGACTCTTCATACTAAACTATGTGCCTTTTAGCATTTGTCAGCTGTCTAAAGGGCAGTCAATAGTTAAAAAGTCTTCTGGATAGTGGTGATTTTAGGTGAGACTCTAGAGTTCCATCTCTATGAAGATCCTGTTTGAGAGAGTGCTTCTTTGAAGAAGGTGAACCTTATCACTTATCTGGGTCCTTTTGGCCATGATCATCTGAAACATACTACTTCTTCGTATGCCTCCATTGCTGAAAAATCTCCGGGTTTTCCCATGGTCATTTTCTTCCTTTCTTTTCTTTTTTTTTTTTTTAAACACTTCCCTATGTTCTGTGAGTATGCAAATATGGAGAAGTTTAATTCCATTAATACTTACAAAAGACTTCCCATGTATAGACACTTGGCCAGGCTTAGGGTTGAGGAAGAAAGGAAAGTTGGTTAGGAAACTATGTTATCTCTCACGGGAACTGCTTTGATTATGAATTAGACATAGAAATCTGGAATGTTTGTGATAGTCTAGACCTAGTTTATTCTGGAATGAAGACCTTTATCAGACGGAATTCTTTTGTGATCTAGCCCTTAGAGTCATACCTTTTAGTAAAGGGAGTGGTATAAAGTAGAAGCTATCAGTGTACTTTCTGGCATTGGATTTGAAATCTGACTTTGTCACTAGCTTTGTAACCTTTGGTAGGTAAATTGCTTACTTTCCTTATGCCTCAAGTTTTTTCTTCTAAAATGGTAGGGATAATAATAGTGCTTGCTTCACAGAATTATTGAATGAAGTGATCAGTAGAGGAAGCAGTCATAGTAGTGCCTTGTGCTTAGAATATGAGAGTGTGTGTGTGTGTGTGCATGTCTCCACATGTGTGTATGCAGATGGGTGTGAATGTATTGGGTGTTTGTGTGCATGTTTGGGGGTACATATGTACACAGATGGGTCTTGAGGGTGTGTGTACATGTGTATGAATGAGTGGATATGTGGGGCATGTGGTTTTGTGTAGTTGTGTATGTATGTTCTTGTGTGTGTTCATGTGTTGGCTATTATTTCAGTTTGGGCTCAGTGTGTTCATTCAATTATGAGCCTTCTTCTGACATTTCTTCAGATGTGTAAAAACTTGTCACAGTTATTTTTTGGTACTGTGGAAACTGTCTTTTATAAGATGAAGTCAAGTGGATTAGCTTTACTTGTCATAAAAAAGATGGATTTGAGTTTCAGTTGTCATACAAGGTTTGCGATTTCATCTTATACCAAAAAGGAGATTTAAACAATGCTATTTTCTCCTAAATTCTGTTGGAATTGATTCTCAGCCCATGACTTCCTCTTTGGCTTTCCTGAGGAAAGAAGAAACTTAGAAGGATATTAGGGGATTCCTTTTGAAGCTTTGTATTACTAGAATACAAAGTTCTGTATAGCTGCCTTATGGATTTTAATCATCTATCATTGATTTCTCATGTAAGTCATATAGAAATTCTCAGGATCATCACAGTTTATTCTCTGTAATTAAGCATGTAGAGAGATTGCAGTCTTGGATGAGACTTCTTTTAACTACATTCATTTCCTCCTGGCATCTTCCCATGCTACCTCATCCCAATCACCATTCTGCTAATTCGTTGACTGATCCCTCAGCCACTGGCCCTGACCAGGGAGACATTTTCCTTTCTTGCCCCTTTGGTGATGTACCTGAGGAGGGCAGAAAGGCTGCTTGTGAGGAGGAGGGAGGAGCAGAGCACAGGTGTTAGGCTTCTAAGCAGGGAGGGAGTAGTAGGGACAGGTTTATAGCAGTTTACTTCACCTGTCTGTCTTTACAAAGACTGCTTCTAAATCCTGCTCCCTGGACCCTTCAATAGCTCTTATAAGGTGAAGGAACCCATTGATTTTATTATGTTCAAGAGAATCCAGTACAGTAACACTTTGGTAACTTTAAAGATGCAACACATGTGTTGGGTCTTCACAGAACTGAGCTGTTCTCCTTAGAGCATCTGTTCTTTGGGAAGGTGCTCTCTGAGTCACCTCAATCCAACAAGCTTATTCTTGTATTTGTAAAGCATTTTTACTGTACAGGTTTGGCTCCCTGATCTCTGTAATATAATGGTATTGACTAAAATGCTAAACTTTCTCCTTGAACTGAGAACAACACAGCATAGCCAGGGACCTGAGGTAAATTTGTGAGCAAGTGTCATCTCCCAGCTCTAGCTCCAGCTCCAGGCATGAAGACCTAAACCAGGCCAAGGTGATCTTTGGTTCAAGGTGCTTCTCAGTAGCATGGTCTCTTCAAGGGTTAGGTTGTATCTCAGTTGTGCTTTGGGTATTTTCAATTTCATTGCAAATCTCTTCATTCTTGCATTTCATCTCCTCATTTATAAGAAACTTGGCATTTTCTAAATCAGTGTCTCAGTGTCTTCTCTCATGGGATCTTGTTTTTTCTTATTCTGCCTTTTGTTAGGAAAGGTGTATAGAGGGATGTGTGTGTGTGTGTGCGTGCGCACGTGCGCACGTGTAGGGAGTAGGGATGGATGATCCTTCCTTCTCACCACCAAGTCTGGAAGCACCATGCATCTTCATTTGTTCTCAGTAACTGCTACATGTTGCTCTATCTCCCATGCTTCCTAGATCCACTTACAACTTCACACTTGACTTGTGATTTCTTTCTGCTTGGATTCTAATAACTAGCTCCCATGTGGAGAGCCTAGTGTATGGTGCTTAAACTAGCATATTCTATCCAACTTTAAGGACAACTCAAAGCATAAATTCTTTATTCCCTGGCTTTCTGGCTTATATTTGCATCTCTTATTAATTTGGGTATATAGCTGAACTGAGTCAATATACATTGAATTAAAATCTTATTGTGACTCCTCTCTGCTCCCAGGGTCTGTATTCCAGTGTGACCTGCCCAGGTACGGTAATGACCAATTTGACATATGGAATTCTACCTCCTTTTGTGTGGACACTGTTGATGCCTGTGATATGGCTGGTAAGTGATGAATACTTTTATTAAGAGTGGAGAAATGATTTAAGAAATTGAACTTGAAGGTGACAGAATTCTGTGTGAATTTTTTGGTGTTACTTATATATAACCTGATTCATACTCCCTGATATTACCACTCCTCTAGTATCTAAGTGTCCACTTCTCTTTAAAGAATCTTTTCTTTGATCATGAATGTAGATCCCAGCAGTTTTATATTCAGATAATTCTGGGAAACCTGTGTTAAACAGTGTCAACTGGACTTCTCTGAGTTTTCAGTGTGGTCCTCTGCATTAAAAGTTCTCAAGAAGGGAATGATTGTGAATTGCATGACCTAGAGCTATGTTTTCATTTGTTTTATGTTTTGAGCATCTTGTAAAGCCACTGTTCCTCCAACACACATTGGGAAATGCTGTTTTTAGGAACTATCTCTCCTATTAAGTGTCAAGAAGAAATATCTCTCCATTATGGAAGGTACAGAAAAAAATATCAGAATTAAAGATTCCTTATGTTAAAAGTAGTTGGTTTGGAGGGTAGAGATTAAGTGATTTTTTTTTTTCTTGACTTTAAAAAATTTTTATACTCAAACATACTGTATAATAAGAATTGCAAATATATTTATATGAATAATTCTTTTGTGACTATTCTAACCCACCTCAAAATGCCTATTGTTTTCTTTTCCTCAGCTTCGCTTTTTTGCAAATGCTTTCACTTTGACACCATACAATGGAACAGAAGCACTGGTATGTTGGTAGAGATTTTTAATAGCTTGTATAATGACTTAAAAATAAGAATTAGAAGTTCAATGGTAGTAGAAACAATTTCAACCGAAAAGATTATCTATAAACTCTGTGGTTAATCAAGGTCCTGTTTAGAACTAAGTTGGACCGTCAGGTTAGAAGCAGAGCATTAGGGGTGAAGTTTGAAGTTTAACATCTACTGTGTCACTGGTAACCATGATTGTAGAGAAAACACTTCTGTAGAAGCAAGATATACCCAGCAACTGGAGGACAGACAGCAGTGGAACACTAGAGATAGGCAAAGCAAGATGGCAGACAATCAGTGAGTAATTTCCCATGGATGAGGTGTATCTTGTGGAGCAATAGTATTCCTTTATTTGAAAATGCTTTTTCTCCTGTTGATATTGGAGGATCAAGATATGTTATTAGAAAAACTGGACTTCCTTAAATCACACATGGCCAATGGATTGCATGTGTTTCCTCATCAATGGCAGACATTGCTAAGGAATCTGTAGTTTTTTCTGCTGCACACAAATGATGCCACTGAATATTTTTCAGCCCCAAAGCCTCAAAGACCCAAAGTCAACCTCTGCTGATAGGTCAGTTATCCTACAAGATGAAATTTGTCATCTGCTCCTTACACCATTTGGTCAAAATACCATTGTCTTAAAGTCAGTTCTTTGTGTGTTCACTTCCTTGAACTTCTTCAAGATTTTTGTGCTGTGTTCTAGAAACTTACTGGAGTGTCTGTGCTTATAGATTTTTAAATATTGATTGAATTGAAATTAACCAAGGGAACTATGAAGGGAATTGGCTTGAAGTTCTTATTTTGGTAGGCTTTGCAGAATTAAATGCATTTATTATAGGGACACACAAGTTGATTGTAGAAGTAAGTGCCTTAAAAGTATACTTTAGTTTTTGATATAGTTGCCCATTGACTAAAAGTATGGATGTGTAGACCTTTAGAGAATACTCATTCTGCACATTTGTGACACTGGAAATTAAATCTAGGGGTTAAGTTTGTGTTGAGTATTAGTGCAGGGGCTATTTAGAAGACTAAAATCTATTACTAAGTAGTTTAGCATTATGTTTAGAAAAAACAATGAATCCATAAAATAGGAAAGAAAATAAGGCATCCTTTCATCAGGTGGTGAACGCTCCAAGAATAATCAGAAAGTAGGACCAGTGGGGGCCTGGAATAGTTGTAGCAGGCTTTACTTGCTGAGTGATACTGATCTGGGCTCTGAGGGACAGGGTGGATTTTGGATAGGATGGGCAGCATGACCCTTGTGTCACAGTTAAAAAAAAAAAAAATTTGTGACCTTGCTGTAATTCCCTAAAATGTGGGTGGGTAGAATATCACTGTAATACATCTAAAGACAGTTGTAGATACTGGTAGGGTGAGAATGCTAGCACACCACTTGAGCAGCATCAGCCTCTTTGAATCTCTGAGTAAGTTAGTTTTGTCTTCTTAAAGGGAGAGTTTGAGTCATCTGAAGCACAGTGGTTAAAAGTGAGGGCTCTACTTCAATGGAAGAAAATAGAGAGTTTAGAAACTGGCCCATCAATGCACAGAGACTTAGTATATGATGAAATGACATTCAAAATAATGTAGATTAGTTAAAAGAGTAAATGTGAAATTAAAATATAAAATGACTAGAATAAAATATGGGGAAGTTCTCAATAGTTTCAGAGTAAGAAGGCTTATCTAACTGCAGAAACCATAAAAGACTGAGTATTTTTAGTAACTAAAAATTTAAAAATTCACATAACCCCAAAAACCCCACTCTAAGTAACCCCTAAAGGCTAACAACAGAATATCTGTCACTTATAGATAAAAGGTTAATGCAAGAAAATATGTCACTCAGATAAAAAGGCTGAATTTTTTTTTTTAGTACAGAAGGAGTTCCAACAAATCAGGAAGAGCCTGTTGGAATGAGGAACAAATGACATGGACAGAAAGTTTCTACACTGTTTTAATCATATGAAAAGATGCTCAAGTTCACTTATGCTAAGAGAAATGCAGTAATTAATCTGGGGACCAGAAGCTCACACTGTAATCCAAGCTTCTTGGGAGGCAAAGATAGGAGGAGAGATAGGACTGGTTCAAGACCAGCTCTGGAAAAAAAAATGAATTTAGTAAGACACTATCTCAAAAACAGTCTGGTTGTGGTAGCACCAGAGGCAGAGGTGGGAGGATTGTGGTCCAAGGCTGGCACCTGGCAAAAGTGAGACCCTATCTGAAAAATAAACTAAAGCAAAAAGGGCTGAGGATTTAACTCATATGACAGAGTGCTTGCCTAGCAAGTGTGAGGTCCTGAGTTCAAATCCCATACTGCTAAAAAAAATCTATAATTAAAACTTTTTTGACTCCAGTTAGTAAAGATTAGGAAGTTTGGTAATGCACTATATTGGCAAGGGTATATGGAAATGAGAACTCTTCTATATTGCCAGGGGCAGGGTAAATTAACATAGTCTACATATTAAATGCACATATCCTTCATGCAGCAGTCCCACTTTTGCTGTTTATCTTGCAGATGTACTCAAACTTTGATGGAATGATGTATCATCATCCATGCAGCATAGTTTGTAATAGCAAAGACTGGAAGCAACCTATATGTCCTTTAACTAGAAACTGATTATCTAAATTATAGTTGTGCCTAAATAGAATACTGTTCACATTAAAGAATGAAACAGTTCTACATTCACTAATGAAAGTGTTTCCAAGACATGTGGTTCAAGTGAAAAGTGCCATGTTATGCTTCCTTTTGAGTAAGAGGAAAGATTTTGTTTTTGGCAAGAATGTAAAGATAGTAGAAGAGTGGTTGTTTCCAGAGTAGAGAACTAAGTGGCTGGAAAGTTGGAAAGGAAGACTTTTTATACCATGTACAGCTTTGAATGTTGTCCATGTGCATTCTTAACATTGATACAGTATGACATCAGTGACCTGTATGGCATGAATTGGGATTCATTAATAAATAAGCTAGTCTACATTGCATGAAATTTACAAGTGTGATTCTTGTACTTAAAGTTTTCAAAGAATACCTTCATTCCTTCCTTTAAGGTATAATAGTGACTCATCAAAACATCACAATTAGCTGATGATTTTTAAGAGAATTTTTAGGACTTGGGCAGCTGTACAAACTGCTGATTGTAAATTTCCACCAGCCTTACTCCCCTGGGGCAAAAGAAACAAACCATTGACACACTTTTCCTTTCCAGGTGTGGATTTTCCACCAAAAACCCGAATCTCTTAATCCTCTGACTAAATATCTGAGTGCCACCACAGGCTTTGGAAGCAATTATGTCATGGTCCAAAAGGTAAGCCTGTTTACATTGTTATACTGAGGATGCTTGCTATAAGGTTAGTGAATTGAGTGGCATTCCTGACCAGACCCAGCACTTCCCAACTTTTCTTTCCCAGGTCTTTACTCTGTTTACTGCTATCACTATAGTCCATTTTCATTTTTGCTTTCTCCAACCTCTGAACTTTGCACATTTTGTTCTTACTACCTGACTTTCTCTTACTCTTTCATCTGATTCATTTCTGTTCATCCTTCAGATCTCAGCCTTCTGCAACCTTTAGACTAGGTCAGGTGCCTCCACTGTGGGCTTTCTTATATGTGCTCTGTGTAGCATTCATTTATTCTCATGCTCCCCTGTCAGCATATGAATTCTAAGGAGGAGGATTAGGGTCCTGTTTCCTAGCATGCTATCTTACACATGTAGGCACTCAATAAGTTGTTGCAAGTTGGATGAAATACGGAATCTCTTTCTTTGTGAAGTTAACTTCCCTTTGAGTATTCAAGTCTGTTTAAGGTAACTATCACTTTTATAGATTTATGTTTTGAAGAGGCAGAGGATGGAATATAGAAAAGAATCCTATTATACTGTATGTTTTGGGCTGTATAATCAACTAAAAAGAAATCAAACACATTCTACCTATTGGAATAAGAGAAAATTTATTTTGAATTATAAGAACTACTTTGTTGTATTTTTATCATGAGTAGGTTTACTTCACTGCCTAGCTTATTGTGAAAATGCATTAGCATAAAATAAAATTAGATTGAAGCAGATAAGTCATCTCAGGTAAATGAGATAAGTGGCAGTGATCTTTGCCTGTATGTTTCCCATGTCATCTTTTTTGCTACAAATGAATCTTTTGTGATTTTTGACATATGTGCTGTGGGATATTAGTTTCTTGAGAACATATGCACAAAGTAGGCAAGTACATTTTAGTAACGCTTCATCTTTCTCTTCCCAAAATTTACACAGTGCATCAGCCTGGTAAAGGCTTTGAGAAGTTGAAGTAGTTAAGAAATATGTGTGTGACATGTGACTTGTTTAATTCTGATATTTCCAAATTTTTCATGGCTATCTGAATTTTTTTACTTCAAATTTTATATAACACTTAACATCCCAAATAACACATTTTGTGGATCTCTGTAATAAAATAATGAAGCTTATTTTCAGGCTCTCAGAGATTATCTGAATTTACCATCTAGTAATGTAGGGGAATGATTTGTTTATCAAGAGGAAAAATGTTTAATTCTATACATCAAAATATTTCATTAGCATTCTGTGAAATGCACTGGAAAAAACATTTTGAGCTTTGGTTAGTTTGGAGAAGTTAGCTTTCTCCTCTGTAAAAAGGTGGGGTTGAACTAGAAGAGCTCTCAAATGCTTCTTCCAATACCAACATGGAAAAACTTGAAACAAAATTGAATGGATATAAATGTTATCTCGAAAATGTGAAAAAGTTTAATTGTTAGCCTTTAAGTTTTATGAAGAATGCCTATCCTATTTTTTTAAAGATCTCAAATGAAAATTTTATTGGACAGATATATGTTTAATAATACTTTAAAAAATTTGCATATAATACTTGTACAAGGGTGATTCATTGTGACATTTACATAAGTGCTTACAATATATCTTAATTAGATTCACTCCCTCCATCATTCTCTGTCATCTCTCCTTAGAACAATTTTAGCAAGTTTCACTGTCCTGTATCCATACATGAATACTAAATATAGCCACCATATTTGCCCTTCGTCATCCTCTCTGTTTACCCTCCACCTTCCCACTGGTACCCAACCCTGGACAGGACCTGTTTTACCTTCCTGTCTTTCATTTTTTAAGTATATTTTGACTGTTCAAGGGGGTTTCAGCTTAGTATTTCAGACACATACATATTATGCTTTAGTCAGAAGAAAGCCTATTTTTGAAGTTCAGGTTCTGTGTTGATTTGAAAAAAGATAACATTGTTTTATAGGGACTGAAAGTTTGCTTTTACTGTGAGTTAAAATGGGATTTTATGCATGAAAGATAAGAATATCAAATAATAGTAAATTAAACAAGATAAAACTCTAGATTTCTTGCATGTAAAAAAACAGTTTGGAGAAAGACAGTCTTGACTGGCATGATAGGTCCACAAATTGCCAAGCACTCATCTTCCTTATAGTAAGCCTTGGGGTGTGGTCCTCATCTTTCTGACTCAAGAGAGTAGTTTGAAAGAAGGGAGAAAAAAACTTCAGGCAGCACTTACATCTCATTGGCCAGAACAGTGTCGTCACATGGCACCCATAACCTCAGTGGAGGTTTGGAAACATGTAGTTATTTACTTGGGGGGCAGTGAAAAACTCTTGACTTTTCTCCTTTTTCCTTTTCTTTCACAATTGGTTGGTATCTTCTGTTACTGGGTAGATAGGAGTCAGGGTAGATAGCAACACTCAGGTCTTTCACTCTTACTATTTAAGGTACATAGCAGAAGGTTTGATGAAAGCTGGAGTTTGGATAAGAGTTGATATGTTCTCAAGTTCTCATGAGTTTCCAAACAGTCTACATGGTGGCCACCACAACCCTTTCCTTTGTTTTCAGTTCTCTTACATATATGTACAAACATATAGATACATATGTATATATATGTATATATATTACTTCCTTGTTATATATAGCAAGGAAGTGCCTTCCTTGTATACACATACTATTTGTTTTATTTTTTCCTTTGTGGTTATTCCTATTTTTACTTCTTTTCCAGATGGACATAGATGAAGACACTGCAGAAAAATTTTACCAAAACTTACTGGAACTGGAAAAGCATGTTAGGGGCACCATTCAAAAATCAGATCTCCACAGCTGATGATGACACACTTGGAAACATTGAGTACTTCCTGTGCATTCTGGATTACATGGCCTTCCATTGAAGTGGATGATAATGCATTTGAAGTACTATGAGCTATGGTGATCTCTTCCCCTTCCTTTGAAAATTACCTCCAAGATTCTTTATGTATTCATGGGTGTGTGTCCACATGAGAAAAACATTGGTAAAGTAAAAGTATCAATTAAATATTCTCCAGAATGGTGTTGCATCAGAATTACTGGTCACCCAACAGGACATCTGTTTATATTGTTCTGTCAACTGAAGCACAAGCTATACTCCTTGTGATAAAAATACAGAGTGAATGTTGTGACGCATTCTCACTCTGGACCTCCTTTTGCCTTCCCCAGCAAGAGAGGGTACTGCCTGCTCTCTGAGTGGTAGTTTTATCTTTATTCCTTTCCTTATGAGCAATTTTTTTGTAGGCCTTTTGCTTTATTTCCTTCTCCATGCTGTTTCCAACAAACCTAACTTAAGATTACTAGAGTCAAACAGTCTTAATGTAGATGCCCATGTAGTTAATCTCAGGAACAAATTATGTATGTGTTTGGCCACTCAAGTGGTTGTTATTTTAAACTTTTTTTTTTAATGTTAGCATAGTTCATACTAACATTGGGCTTAACACTATTTGTAGATTTTTCATTAGAGACCAGCTCCTTTTCATGAGCATGTTTTCATGTAAATTTGCAGCAAAAAATTATTCACATTGTTTCAATAAAGCTTTCTAAATGAATAACTACTGATAGTATATCTGCTGCTGTAAGGTGCACTATAACAGTGGAGTAAAGTGGTTAATGTAATTTCTAAATATCAGATAATTAAACACCTTTTTCTTTATAAATCTTAAAAGGGCCACATCCCAGCCTTATTTAATACAAAAACAAAATGCTAAAATGCCTAGATTTTTTTTTATCATTAATATAACCAGCATAACACCTGGAATATGATTAAATGAGTAAAATATTGAATGAGTAAATAAAAGTGAAAAATGATATAATTCCCCATAATTTAAAGTATGAAATTTTTGGTTATAATTTCTCTAATTTTGTTAAAGGTTTTTATGAAGATGAATACTTTATAGGTAAAATTGAGGGCTGCACCTCATGAGATTACTCCCCCTGGCTAATACACACACTATCTTTGGGAGAGAGGGTTAAAGCTGAAAGCAGGGTTGTTTTCCATTCTTCCATTTACTCCATTGTCAATTTGAAGAAGCACTTTGACCATTGTGAGTGTCACATTCCTTATCTGCAAAATGGAGTAATAGCCTCCTCTACTTTGGGTATGGAGTAAGGAGTTAATGTAATTTTTATTAGAGATCAATAAGCCAGAATGTCCTGGTTCAGATGCTGCAGTGTAAGGCACTGAGGCACCACTGCCCTTCTGACTGGGAGTTAGTTCTGTTTTCCAATAGCAGCATTGGTCTAGTAGGGGTGTGGGGGAGGAGTATGGGTCCTGGGGCAGATAGGGGATCAAATTTTGCTTTAACCAATTAAAGCTGTGTGACTTCAGGCAAGTTGCTTCAATTTATGTTCTGCAACATAATTTCAAAAAATAGATACCAGTGTCTCTCTATCTTGCAGAATTGTGACATATCTTAGATGTGCAGTCCATACAAATTACTATTTAATTGTGTTCTACAGTAAGTACTCAAAAGAAGACTTTAAACATGAATTTGATTTTATGATTTCATGTCATTTCTGATGTGCTTATGGATTGATGAGCTACATATTTTGTGAACTGTTTTAGGCAAATTCTCCAAAATAGAAAATAAATCATAGCCCCTGTCCCCATGCTTCAAAAATGTGTAACTCTAATTGGTTCCCATCATATGATCCCAGATCTCACTTCTTTTGTAACTATGTTTTGGGTATTAGATTGAATATTCAACTATTAGGAAGTGGAGTTGTATGAGATGCTCGATTCCTGGGTTGAGCTGGTGCATTTATTTTGATTTCTATGATAGCTTCAGTAAAAATAATTCATTTGTTCCACATGTGTATATTGAGTGACTATATGCCAAGCACTCTTGGGTTCTGAGGATATAAAATCTAATATGTGGATAATAGAATGAGAATTTTAAAAATGCACCTAGTAAGTATTCCAGAAGGACAAAATTGAGAAAATGGGAACCAGGCCACGAAGGGACAAAAACTGAGCATTTTCCAGAATTGATGGATGTCACAATCATCAGACTCCAGAAAAATGACATGTTCCCACTAACTTAAATACAGTGAAACTGCTGAGAACTGAAGAAAATAACTTGCAAAAATAATTAGAAGCAATAGAAGCAATAGGTTTCTAATACAAAGTTGACAATTGAACTAAAAGTGGACTTACCTTGTGTTGCTGTTAGGAAAATACGAGTAACTTCAGAGTACCGAGTGAAAGTAAGCCCTTCTAAACCCTCAGCCCTGCATGGTTGAGACTGAAATAAAACTGTCAGACAAAAGTTGAGTTGAACCCTTACTGAAAGATTTTGCTTCTTTTTTTGAAAAAGACTGCTAGAGACAGTTGATATTAAATACTACAAGGGAGAAGTAACAAAAAGGAATAATAAAGAAATGTACAAATATGTAGGTAAGTTAAATATTTATAAGTCAATAAAAATGACCTGGAGAAAAAAGACAGAAATACACAAATGTGGAGAATTGACTAAAATTAAGACATTTCCAAGTATTGTCTAGAAGGAAGACAGATGTTGATTAAACTTAGACATCAATGTATTTGATGTAGTTATTAAATGTTTGATGGTAATCTTATGATGAGATATAAAATATACAGTTTCCAAACCAGCAGAAGTTAAAAACGAAATAAAGAAAATCCAAGCCATCCAAAAAAGAATGGAAACTAGGCATTATGACACATGCCTATAATCCCAGGGTTTAGGAGGCTAAGGCAGGAGGATTGAGAGCTTGAGAGAGACCCTGCCTCAAAAATAAATAAAAATAAATAAAATAAAGGTGCAAAGATTGAAAGAAATGGGATAAAAAGTATACATCAGGCAGGTAGATAGCTATGGTAATACTACATTAATAGTCTATAGACTTTGAAGCAAAAACATTTTTAAGGATTGAGTCTACACATGATAAGGTCAACCCATCCAGGGGTATTACATTTATTAACGTGTATGTGCTTTTAATGCTTCAAATATATAAAGTAAAAGTTTATGTGATAACAAGGAAATAAAAATCCACAACTTTAAGAGTTATTTCTTAGCAATTTATTATCACACAAAAGTAAGCATGTGGAAGATAATGCAAAATTCCTGGTCTGAATGCACAAGTTGGAGAACTATATTCTTTTCAAATCTACATGTGACAATTTAAGATCTCACCCAAAGTAAGTCTACAAATATTTTTTAAAATGTGTATTACACAGACTGTTTTCTGACCATGATAAATTTTTAAAAAAGTAACCAAAACCCAATAAAGAAAATTCATGTTGGAATTTAAAAAATAACTGCATTAAGCAACCATAAAAATTCTTCATATTCATTTGAATGAAACATCTGAATGGCTTCAGACATTTGTAGGTAAATGGAAAAAAGGAAAGGTTGAGAACTAATGAGTTAAATATTCTCAAAATGAGGGAAAATGAATAAATACAAAGAAAATAGAAGGAACAAAAGATAAAAAATAGGAGCATTGAGTTTTATGATTATCCAATTTTTAATGGTTATAGGGCTATTCTGATTATCTATTTTTCTTGAATTTTGGTTATTTGTGAGTTTGGAAGAGTTCTTTATGTTTTTTGGTGATACTGGGGTTTGAACTCAGGGCCTCATGCTTGCTAGGCAGGCGCTCTACCATTTGAGCCACTCTGCCAGCGAATTTTTTCTTTTTTTTTTTTTGAGTTCTTAAATTTATGAGAATAAAGTTGTTAATAGTATTTTCTTATTGTCTTTTTAATGGGTGCAGGATCCGTAATGATAACTTGCATTTCATTCTTTTTAAAAAATACTTTATTAGCATATATTGTACAGGGGGTTTTCATTGTCATATTTCCATATAATGTTCCTTGGTTAGATTCATTCCTGCTATCATTCCCCTATATCCCCTCCTCCCCTACTTAAAACAAATTTCAACAGGTTTCAAGGTTCTATCTTCATGTAGCTATATTAAGTACATTGATTATATTTACCCTCCTTTACCCTCTCCATTCACCTTCTCCCCTTTCACTAGTACCCACCTCTTCATAGGAACTGTTTTACATTCTTATCTTTCATAGTTTTAAGTGTATGTTCATTGTTCAGAAGGGGATTCACCATGGTATTTCACATATGAATATATTTAACTTTAATCATATTAACTCCTCTATTACCCTCCTATGTCTTTCCCCCACCTTCTATTAATTAACAGCTTTCAGGGTGTTTTGTTATGACATCTTCCTGCACAGATGGGCGGTATTTCCATATTATTCACTCTGCCATTCTCCTTTCCTCTTCTTCCTCTCCCTTAGTCCTTTCAAATAGTCCCTTGCTATTGGTATCTTCTCTCTTTTCATTGTCTCTTGCTAGGAGCTTTTCAATTTTATTGATATTTTCCAAGAACCAAGTTTCTGTTTTACTGGTTTCTCTTAATTGATTTCCTGTTGTTCATAGTTGTTTTTCAGGAATGATGGTCTGTAGGAGACTTACTTTGCTATATTGAAAGCAGGATTTCTTAGCACTTTTTCTGTTATTTTACTCTTCATTCTATTTCCTTCTTATATTCAGTCAAGTTTTCCTGTTCTATACACATTTCTGTTTTTAGTTTTGAGTTTTTGTATTTTTTTTTTGTATTTGCAAATGCTTATTTAAGGGTGTTTAATTGGGTTACATTGATTTAGTTTTCTTCTTCCTTGTGGTTGTACCTTGGGTGTGAGGGCTGTATAGGGGTTGTCAGCTAAAGCATTTTTTTTTTTTCTCATTTTGTTTTCTTTGCCTCCCAGGGAGGTTTTTGCTAGTTGTGTAATCTAAAATCTTATCATATCCCTTGGGCTTAAACTCTTTCTTACTACTGGTTTCTAGTATTTATGATATCTGCCATATGTATTTTACTTATGTATCTTGTTTATTACTTTTAACTTACCAAAGTATAAGTTCCAAGACTTGTGTTGTTGTTCATTAAATTAAATTAATGATTGACATACAGTAGGCTTTTGGTATGTACTTGCTTTATAAATAAATATATGGAAAAACTTGATTAAATTACATTGAATTAAAGTATCATGCTCTCATGTTTGTAGTCTTAATTTTTATTGTATCCACATTTAAAAACTATCAGTTTCTTATGATGAATAGGATTTACTGAGGCTTTGCCTGCTCTCATTGTCAAGTTTGTTGTACTAATAAATATAGTTCCTTCTCATGGAAAACAACACTAAGAACAACTGTAGTGTGTAATAAATCTTATTCCTAGCAATGAAGCTTCACAAAATAATCCATGTTTTTTGGGGGGGTACTGGGATTTTGAACTCAGGGCCTCATTCTTGCTAGGCAGGCACTCTACCACTTGAGCCATTCGATATGCCTTTCTGTGTTGAATATTTTCAGATAGGGTTTCTTAACTGTTTGCGTGGGGCCTAATCCATGTTTCTTATCTGGCATCTACATACCTGAATTGCTTCCTTTATATGACAAGTCTCATTTATTTATATGA